TCTCACTGCCTTTGTATATGAAAAACAGATAGGAATAAATGTTGACTAAACCACAAACGATCCTAAATTTAATGAAAAATAAACATATAAAAACAGGAGCTAAAGAATTGATTATGCATGTTATCTTATTTCAGGCTTTTATATTTCTTTTTAATTATAAAATTCCAGGTAATATATTGGAAATTAAACATTAAGTGTACTTTATAAATTTTTCACCCGTTAAATACAAATTTCAATTCATATGAGCAGTTACTAATTATAGTTTGATGTGACTACTCATTTCATATTTTGTAAATTAAAACATTCTAGATCTTTGTATTTTTGCATATATAAATATACACCATTTATATACATACAAATATATATCCCCACAAAGAAAACATTTAATTATACTAACCTCTTTTTTAAAAGAAAATAAAACCTTAGCCTTTATGTATATGTTATAGTAGGTATATCTTTAGAACGTTAAAATGTAGTTATTAAGGACTGGTTGCTCTTAATAGAGTAGAAGAGACATGTCTTTTAAAATCAAAAGACTATAATACCTCAATACTTGTCATATATGTTATATAAAAAGATCCTTTTTTCTAGTAAAGAATACTATCAATGTCATACTGAAACATTAAAAAGTATAAACAATTCAACTACGTTCCAAAAAACTATTAGAGTGATAGACTTAATTTATGTATCTTATTTATTATACATGGACTTCAATGAATGCTAATGAAGCTATGGAAAATGTGCTAGGGGCTACAAGAAGTGCTGATAAACAGTAGGTTTTTGAAGCTAAAAAGGTTCTGATAATCATTACATGTCCTTTCAACAATATCTTCCAAAGATATGGTTTCCAAAAGTTATTCTTCTACTGATCAGTTATTGATTACATATCTATCAGTCCCCGTAGTGAAAAATACCAATGCCAAGAAATATTAGTAAAGATATATAGAATAATTTGGCTCTGTAGGGAAAGCATTTTCTAACCCCTTAATAACAGCTGTACCCCACATGAGTTGGAGGGAAGAGGGGCTTTAGAGACTCAGCAACATTTCAGGCTGCTATCCAACAGATTTCCCCATAAGGATGCATTGGAACTTCCTTTTACTTTGCAGTCCCCGGCTGAATAATGCCCATTTTCAAACTCACTCTTTCTTTTGCCAGCTTCTCCACCCACAGCAAATGTGGGTTTATTCTATTCAGTTTTCAGAGTTAGTCTGCTTAGTGGCAGACAGACAGACAGACAGATGAATGAGCAGACAAGAATTCTGAGCCCTTTACAAATGTTTTGCCCAACTTTCCACTGAGCTTGGAAAGAAAAAAGAAGTAGGTAAAAGATATAGAACACAGCTTCTGTAATGGCAGTGTCCATCAGCAGGCTAAGGGTTTGTCAAAATCATGACAGGCGCCTCCTGACATTCCAATGCAAGTTTAAACTCTTATGCTTGCATGCAATTTCACAGCACAATTAATATATGATCTATTTTCTGAATCTATATGAATAATATTCAAAGAATGAATTAGAAGAAACAAGACTGAAGTAGTAAACTAAATACTTTACAGGCTTGTTAATAATGACAACACAGAACTTCATTCAAATGATACTAGCAACTAAGTAGAAATATATATTAAACTATAGTTAAACCAATTATAATCAGATTAAGAAGTGCAAAATGCAAACAATAAAACTATTTTTTTAAAAAAAGAATTAAGAATGAACCAAAGAGTTTTTCATTCGTAGTGGAAGATTTGATTATTTCTCTAACCTTTTGCAGCAAATCAACTCTTCAAAATATGCTCTGCAAAATGTCTTTAGTAAACCATGAAAGTAGATAACAACAAAGGAGGGCTACAAAAAATTAGCTAACCACCATATTGCACTGATAGATGTTTTTTTACTGGTTCATTTCGTCAGCAGAATGCTGGCTTTTAAATACAACCCCAGGTTTCCTCGCATATTAAAGTTCAATTTTGAAGTCCTAAATAACTATCAGTGAAAGCTGCTGTGTCAGCATTAACATCTGTACCACACAAAAAGAGATTGATAATGCTGCAATTTTACAATGCCAAAAACATGTACTGAAGTGATCTATATATGATATTTTCTGCCATAGAGGAATCATCCTGGGAAGAATGGGCTGTTTTACATATTACAAGCATCCACGTGATCAGTACAAAAATCGATAAAAGGGGGTGGGAGGAAAAAAGCAACTAGAGAAATAAAGGAAAATAACAGTAAGAAAATACTGTATTATGTTATTTATAGGACATTATTCTTTCTTATTTTTGAACATTTCATTAAATTACAGCCAAAATATTGTTGATCAGTCATCCCAAGAGCCAATTTCATAAATGGAAAGTGAACTCATCTATCTTTCTAACAATGAAGAATAATATTTTTGCTGTTTCCGTGCTTGATAATTCCATCACTTTTCATATCCCAGGGTTCATTTCCCATGTAATCTAGAAGTACACTCACATATATTAACAGTATCAAACTTTGTAATATCTTACAAAATTTAATGGATAATGGACAATAAATAATAATGAGACAACAAAGGCCCCTTACCCATTCTTTATCTTAAACATGATGTTTTAAAATACTCTCTGGACTACCCACTGAATGTGAAAAAGAATATTTTGCCTCTTTTTAAGTTGAATTTTTACAATTAGCTAGACTATGCACAAAAATGTAGGATATAACAATGCATATGAATAATTAAATAGGTTAAATATACAGAGAAGCAAGAATTTTAAGCTGTTTAATGATTTTTACAACTTTGTATGCAATTTTTGAATTTAGAAATCCATGTAGCAGCACAAAATATAAATTCTTTGCTTGAAATACAATACCTGTATTTATTTATAAATGTACTTTCTACATCTTGGTAAGTAAAAGCTGGAAGAATGTGGTGACATATTCTAAATATGTACCAATTTTAATACTTACCTTGAAAAAATGCATTTTCATAAATTAATATGCCATGAATTTTTTTCATGGTCAAATTTGTATTGTATGTTTAAAAAATCCAATAGGACATGTTATCACCAGGTGAGCAGAGCAAAAACAAATATTTGTTCTTTAAGGGGCTGGAACATTTAAGGGTATAAATATATCAAGTCTACAAACCTTACTTTGTCTCTCCCCACAAATCCTATTTTGCTATCAAATCTTATTGGCATGATCAGTAGGGTGTACTGGAGGTTAGTAGTTTTCTACCCCAGATTGAACATGTAAAGAAATCTACATAATTTTCAACAATTTAAACAACTGTACTTATATGTGATTATAAGTTATCATACATCATCCAATTCTTCAATGCAATTTTATTATAAATTGAGGCAAATCAGTTATTGGAAACTATAGACAGCTAACCAATTATAAATATCAGCCACTTTTTCCTCACAGCAATAAGGAAAATATAAAAATATAATTTAGTAAATGTTGTGACATTATTACAGAAAAATAAATGAGAGAAAATAAGATACAACATAAAAAGAATATAGTGGAAGTGAATAAAAACAGAATTAGAGCAAATGGGGGAAGTGACTATTGACACCAAAAATGCAGAAAGACTATCTGAAATTTGAACTCCCTCTCACTCCATATTATTACCAAGTCACAAATCAGCAAATCCAGGAAATAGAACAAAAAGAGAAACTAGACAGCAATGACTATACAAGTTAAACAATTAGCATGGAAATATATAGACTGTTGTTAAACCATCTATCAAATTTCTAAATGAAATATCCAATATGATCAATATCTACAGTGAAATTCTGCAGAGTGAATGGCACCAGGTAAATACAACATTAAAAATAGTGTTTAATCATTAAATTGGACAAATTTAAGTCATATTATTGGGAGACTTTATTTAATTAGGCTGTTAGTATCATTATTAAAAGTGTGGAAGTTTTTCAGGAAATCTATCTACACTTTGGATTTTCTCCAAGACACCACACAGCTTCATAACTTGTATGATTAGCCTTAGGAAGGAAACTGGTAAACCATTTGGTAAACTATCACAACAAATCATTATAAAAGAAGTCCTGCAAAATCCAAACTTTTGCTATCTTACAACTTACCCAAAACTTTTTTCAAGTTCATTAACCTCTAGCATATTTGTTCTTCAAATACAGACTGTGAGAAAAGTGTTTTTTTCCCCATCTGCTCCTGGCCCATAATCTATATTTACATCATTTTTTTTTTTTAAAAAGAGTATGATATGATAATTTGATATGATAAGAGAGATACTACAATTACCCAATTGAACCACCTTTATTCATGTGCACACATATATAATTACACACTACATATGTACACCCCACCTAATAAAACCATAAACCGGAATGCTTTTTAAAATACTTTTAACTATCATATCAGATGTAGCTTTTATGTACTTGACCCCACCCAAATAAAAATCAGTTCATGCTTAACATTAAAATTCAATTCTGTTTTAAAAAATGATAGAATAATTGTGTTCAGCAGGGCCAGTTATGAAGAAGAGAAATAAAATTATATTTTAAAATAATATTTAGATACATCTTTAAATATTGAACTACTTGTTTACCATACATTTTAAGCCAGTTTACTTGTTTACAACTATTTTTTAATCAGTTATAAATGATTTATGTATCATAAATATTTTTAAGATTATGTACAAAATTATTAGGAAAATTGGAGCTATTTTTCACATGTACCTATATGAAATTGACAAACATTCAGCTATTTCCTAAAACAGTTATAATTGTAGAATAATTGGATGTGTGTAACTTTTACTGACTACAAATTAAATAAAAATCCCATTTGCTTTAAAGAACAAGGCAGAAGGAAATAGATTAGTACATTTACTGTTATCACACTTCACTTTTTGTTCATTATACATTCACTTCTAAACTGCCTCAAAGCTAGACATTTAATTTGTAACAACTGTGGATAAGCAAATGACAAAACATGGAAATGTGAAATTGAAACTGGTGTTAAGAACAAACAAGATAAATGGTACCTGAGAAAATGCAGTTGTTGCTCAGCTTTGCCCAGCAATTCTGTTAGTTTCAGACATTCCTCCTTAGCTTTTGCAGTATCCTGCTGTGCTTGTTCTAAGCGCTGTTTGTTTTCATGAAGCAATACTTGTAATTTCTCAATTTGCTTTAAATACAAAGAGGAGGGCAGGAAATTTAGATAACAATAATTGAACATAATAAAGGAAGTTAGAAAACTCGCAAATACTAGAACAAGTTTAACATGATTATTTTCTGGCTTAAACAAAAGTTGAGAAACAATATTTATTATATTATGTTTACATCATACTTTTCCTCAATTCTACAATCATAACATTGGTTACATTTTTTTGAATCATATTTAACAAACAAATGCAGAATGCTCCACCAATCACTCAGATTGCAATACTGAAGCTACACTTAATTTTTACTTTTTACGGCAGAATATAATGAGGTAATTTAAGATACTATTCTATCTTGAACTATTCATGACCACAATTTAACTCTTTCAGTTTTTCTCTAGTTCTTTCCTGATATTCTAAGTTCAAAATGTATTTTAAAGAAATCTAATAAGCAGTTTTGTAAATGAAAAATAAACAGAATTTGACAACTGTCAACTAAAGCCAAGACAATCTCAAAATTTCACAGTATAGGCATAAATATAAGTTCCTATAATTTTCTCAGAGAAAATAACTAAAGTGAACAGATGGGCTTTATACTATCCCTCAAGTTAAATCAACTCAAGTTATGTCAGTCCAATAATAAGTGAATTACAACATAGAGGGACTATGTTGAAAATAGAATCCCTCTACCTGCCAGATGTTGAGTCCAGAATTTAAGGTAATATTCTATCTGTTAATCTTCACTGCATACAAAAGTCAAACAGGTTCTTTAGAATTATTATATTGCAGAGTAAAAAAAAAAAGTAATACCCCCACACACATTACTTTTACCTAGATATAATGAAGAATTGTTTATTATATTTTGAACACTATGCTTGATCATTGACTTCTTAGCTTCAGCCATATTTGGCATTTTTAAAAAATGTTACTTTAGCTCTTTTTATAATTCATAGACATGTAAACAACTATTGAGGTTAACAACAAAAATAAACGTTATTTCTTATACCATTTCTTAGCCTTTTGACAAAGATCATGGGTAAAAACAAATGCTAGTAAATAGCATAAGAAAGCTTTTTAGAGCCTAAGCAAGCAGGTCCAATGTGGATTTAATATCTCTGGATTTATTATCACTAAAGTTATGTATAAAAATAAAATGAAAAAGTAATTCTTGAAATGCATTATTAACTAGGCAATATTATCATTTTATATTGTCATCATTTTAATTACCCAAATTTGGCAAATCAATATATTCTTTGTAAATTATATTTCTTTTAAACCATGATAAATTGGATAATAGTGTAGAAACATTAAGATGTTGATACAAACAGTATTATAAAAGGATGGATGACTTCCAGAAGAAAAACAAAATTAACTTATTGGTGCACTATATCAAGTTCAAATTCTCTCTCTCTCAATATCTACCTACCCACCTATCTACCTACCTATTGGGATGGATAGACAGCTATAGATATATCAGTGAATTAAAAGTAGCAAATTATCTGCTATATTTATTACTAAGCAACATTTAGTAACTGGAAGTGTAGGGCAAAGAATGGAATAGAGAATTAAGGAAATTAATTGATCATAGTTGGTCTAGTCTTTGTTCAAGTAAGAGGAGTTCTTTAATTTTTCTGGTTCTGTTTTGCTTTCAAATCTGCTACTGATTAATCTTACTCTTTAATTTTAACCTCCACTAAAATAGTTTATACTAGAATGTAAATCAATTAAGCCAAGGTTATAATTTATTTTAAATAAAATAATTACAAATTATAAATGATCTTGTTCAAAATTTAAAACCACAAACCTATTTCGGTGCATTTTCTCTTTCACTCTTACATGGTGTACATATATAAATTTTAGTCATAAGTACTAGCAAAAGAAGATTGTGGGTTCTGCTCATCTCTTGACTACTTAAGTGCTTAGTAAGATAAAAATATCTTCCACAACTTTTGAAATATGGATTTTGGATAATTGATTTAAAGAAACCAAATAAGATATTTAATCTTATCAGAATGAAATGTATTATTCCAAATGCTCTATCCTACATTTACTTACTATTTCATAGTTATTAAACAACTTTCAAATCCCTTCTATGACTAATAGTATCATGTAAGAAAGCACTGACTGTTAAATATCTATGGAGATTTTCAGTCATCCAGGTCATGGTTGTCCCAAAGATGCTTTTTTCAAGAGGCAACTGGGCTTTCTGGTTTTTCTTTGAAGACTTTTCACTTCTCATCCAAGAAGCTTCTCGGATAAGAAGTGAAACGTCTTCGAAGAAAAACCAGAAAGCCCAGTTGCCTCTTGAAAAAAGCATCTTTGGGGCACTGGCTGTTAAGTCCAGGAATTCCTCAGTGCCTCACTTTTAGGAAGAATCTAGACCAACTATCTTGAATGATACAATTTATGACTGCTTGTGATGATTTTCTGGACTAGAGGATTAAAACAACTATAGTGTATTTTCTTGAACAAGTAGTGTCCTGCCAGTGACAAAAACTCAAGCTAGTGATTGTAACGTAATAGCAATTATAGCATATTAGAGTGCATATTAGAGAGTGCAGAGAAGAGCAACAAAGGTGATAAGGAGTCTTGTGGCTACATCATATAATAAAACAGCTAAAGGAACTGGGTGTGTTTAATCTAATGAAGAGAAGACACGATAGCAGTCTTCCAATATTTGAAGGGCTACCACAGGGGAGACGATGGTATTCTCCATAGCACCTGACAGCAGGAAGTAATGGATAGAAGCTCATCAGAGAGTGATTCAACCTGGAAATAAGAAGGGATTTTCTGACAGTAAGAATGATTCATCAGTGTAACAGCTTGGCTCCCAGAGTTGTGGATGCTCCGTTGCTGGAGGTTTTCAAGAAAAGATTAGATATTTGTCCAGGATGGTATAAGAACTTCTGCCTTGGGCATGGGATTGGACTAGAAGACCTCCAATGTCCCTTCCAGCTCTATAATTCTATGATTATCTAAATTTCAAGTCTAAATTTGGCAGACAGCTTCCTTATTTGTCTTAATGGATAATCTGAGCTGGAATTTGTTAATTCAACCAGAATTTTCAATAATATTTTGCTCTTTCTGGATAGATTGTTCAAGTTTGAAATCTGTGGTAGCACATTATAATAGTTTCATACTTAATAGATTACTCATTTTGAAAAGTAGTGGTAGAAGACTATTTCTTTATTCATATTTATGTTAAATGGATCTTTACAGAATTTTTCTTCATTGCTATATTCTAGTACAGGTAGTCCTCGTTCAGTGATTACTTTGTTGGGCAATTGTTGATAATTACAATGGTGATGAAAAAGAAACTTTACAACCAAAAGTTTAAAATGTATGATCTTTTCAGGTCTGTAAACCTGAAATAAGATAATAATCACAGCTGCAGTTATCAGTCTCAATTGTGATCACTAAATGAGGACCTTTACATATAAAAATAGCTGAGCGAAACAGGTATCATTAGTATGCAGATAACATGAACTTATAAAGGTCCATTGAGCCTGGGATCAGAATAGGACTGGATCAAAGCCAAATCACGGAATTGAATTTAGTTAAGATGAGGTATCTACATTTGTCAATGCATAAAGAATGAACTAATGTACCAATTTACATTTTTAGAACTCTCCTTCATTTTTGGTAATGGAAAATCTTTTGGCACTTTCAGGTGTTACAGACAGAATCTCAGTTAGCAAAGCCAACTAACCTCAATCATTTTGACTCTTAATCTTCAAATCAGATTACTATAATATGTAGACTTTGTAGAAAAATTGAAAACTGAAATTAGCAAAAGGTACAGATGTAAAATGCTAAATGTATATTGCTCAGGTAAAATAATTTCTGAACTATGAATCATAATATTTCAAAATATTAATGCTAAATCTTAAAACCTTTATGAGTTGGGAGTGGAGAACTCCCTTATTCAGATGTCATTGTCCTGTTGCTAAAACGATCTGTACACAATGACACTGACTGAATTAGACAGTAACTCTCTTCAGTTCTTTTAATTAATTGATTGATTCAAGTCACTCTGGAGAAAACTTTTCCAGCTACCTGAAAATTGTTGTATCCTTTTTTATTATACAAGAAACTTAAGATTCTATAATAAAAGGCTTGGAAACATTCACCTCTAAAATATCTTGATAAACTATACATATGGAATATATATCAAAGAAAATGGTAAAAACAAATCTAATCTAATATTTGAAGTGCACTGTATACATCAAATACACAGGGCTGAATCGGGTGACTTCAGGCTACTGAGAACCACAATTTAGACACAGTACAACTGCTTTACAAGAACATCAAGAGAACAGTCAAGTATCCGTTAATTTGGAAAGGCTGGAAGAAGAAGCTGAGAAGTCTGGGTTCCTTTTAGGTTCACACTGACTGCAAACCCCCATAGGAAAAATAAAAATTGAGCTTGCCTACATGATCAAGGAGGTACCATTTTCAAGTGATGAATGTTTTAAATGAGGAGGAAGGGAAAGGAATTTCTTTTGTCATACTTTATTGGACAAAGCCCGGTATCTAGACCTTAGCCTTTTCAGCAAGACCAATTTTGGAACTGCTTATAATTCATGATTCAGATATATAAAACCTATTCAGGATAAATCCAATAAATTCTTTAAAATTATACTAGTTGAGGATTTAGAAATGATTATAGTCACATGCAAACAATAGAAATAATTAAAAACAGAGAAGATCCAGGCTGTAGAGATCTGAATTGTTTTACATGGAGTCACTGAGTACTTTGTCCAAAGCAGGCTGGTCCTATTTCAGGGCAGACACCTTCAAGCTGCAAATACAAAGGGGCAAGGAGCTGAAACAAGGTATTGGAAAACACAATTATTCTGTTGCTGTATCAGCTCTATGTAACTAAAAGAGCAAACTCTTCTTACATGTAATGAGCGGTACAGTTCCATTTCTGTTTTGAAATTAAAAATGCAACTTTGTTGCAGGGAGAAAAATGTTTTACCATTCTTGCAAGGACCTTCAAATATTTAGGACCTCCACAGCCAACTGAGCCGTGATATAGTTCAATCTTAATTGAATAATGAAATAAAAATTAAGCATAAGAGATTTCAAAAGCATCCCAGATCAATGCACTGAGGATAGCTGACGCCATTCCACATCTCCCTAGAGTATTTCCAAAGCGCAAAACTATAGAATGTGTTTGGTTCCATTTTATCCATCCTTCTCAGAATGGAAGTTTATAGACTTTACAATAAAAGAAAGAAAGAAAGAAAGAAAGAAAGAAAGAAAGAAAGAAAGAAAGGAAGGAAGGAAGGAAGGAAGGAAGGAAGGAAGGAAGGAAGGAAGGAAGGGGGAGGGAGGGAGGGAGGGAGGGAGGGAGGGAGGGAGTAGGTTGTATAGCCATTGTAAATAAAGGCAAAAATATGTTTTGGCAACACTCTAGCATTTTATGTTTTAGATGGAAATACTAGAGGTCCTTTCTTTTGTTGTAAATATGTCTTTCCATGGACTTCCATTACTTTTGCCCAGATCTCCAATTACTAATATAATGCATTCCAAATGGAGTTTACTTTAGAGAGGCTTTGAAAATTCTAATTGGTACAAAATGTGACAGCAAGGTTTTTAAAGACAACTATGAACATTCTATAAATTTCTCCTAAGTATGCATTTTTTCATCAATTATTTTTTTCACCAAACATTGGGAAAAATAGATATGCATTCAAAAAGATGAATGTTCATGCCCCCTTGAAGCAAGGAATGAAGAAATGCAACAGAGCAAACTTTACTTCAAAAAGTATAACAAACTTTTGGGGAGTTGAGACAAATCCAACCATTTTTACTAGAAAATTATTTCTGTCACACCTAAACCATATTTTACCAAATGCTGTTTTAAAGGACAATGGACAGGATCCTTTTCCATATCAACAGAGCCCCGTTTTTCCTCTCCTCATACTGCCTAGGCATTTAGGAAAATCATTAGAATATTCAATAAATATGAAGCACATTAATTAGTATTCCCATTTAATCTTTGCTTTCTTTATTTCTTATTTTGGATATGTAACACGTCTGAAACAGTAATATCAGTGCATGAGATGCACAGCCTTCAACATTCAATTGTGATGTCTATATATACCTGTGTGCACTATGCAGCACTCTGTATAATGTGAACATATAATGTCCTATATATTTATTATCATTACCACTTGCTGATAATGGCCTAGAAAAGAAATTCTTCAATTGTTAACTGCTAACTGTTTTTTAAGCTTTCATCCAAAAATTATTCAGTATGATTGCATGCTATTCAAATGTGTTGCCCATGTTTCTAAAACTATTCACTTTATCTTAATAAAGAAGGTTAAATTGTTTTATTTGTGCCCCACTAGGCCTTGTGGAGGTTCTGACAAACTTCTGAAGTACTGTACTGCTTTGAAGTGACTGCTTTCTTACTTTGTACCTTAGTTCTGCTTGATGCATTCAATTTTAACTAATCCCCTATTGCAATCCATTTCAGCCCCACCACAAAGCTTTTGGGAAAATCTTCTAGAAGACTATGGGAAATCTTTTAGAAGACTATGCTATGCAGTAAGTTGCAGCAAAATGCATCAATATTGTATGCTCTCATTTGGGTGATTTGAAAGTGCTTGCTACTGGACACAGTTGAACAGTAAGGATCCAAAAACACTGTTGGAGAGATAAGAAAAAGTCCTGTTTTGTAGTTTAATTTTATTTCATAAATACTACAAAAGGTGTAAAAGAACAACTGTTTTAAATGGTAATAATATGATTATTTTGAAAATAAAGTAATTCAAACAATTAAATATTCCATTCTCTTTGTTAAATCATATTTCCTTTTTGAGTGAATATCTCCGAGTTTCTTTTATGTATAGACGTTATGGGATTCCATAGGTTTCACTACAAATGTATATATAGTTCAACTTTTTCATGTATAACTAGTTTATCCCAATATTAGTAACTTCTGTTGTATGAGGCAGCAAACAAGAAAGTCTTGAAAATATCTGATATTAATCAGCAATTAATTGACTAGAATTTTATTAGTTTTTACTAACTTTAGAATAAAAAAATAAAATTTACTTAATGCTTTTCGAATGCAAAATGTTCAGGAATCAGTTAGATACACTGTGTTAATTTTTTAGATACAACAAATGACTAAGTGAATATCACAGAATAGACACATACACATAGACAATGTCTGTTCATGCATGCATGAAAAAATATGTTAAGATTGGAGGGGGAAAAATCTCTTATCATAAAATATTGTACTAGTACTAAAATATAATAAATGGATTTCTTCTCATAAGAACCCCCTCAAAATACTCAATAGGAAGGAAAAACTCATTTTTCTATAAATTGCTTGATAGAGTATTCTCTCTTACCTGATCTTTAATTTCAAGTTCCCTTATTGTTTTTGTCCTATACTCCCTGTGCTCCTTTTCGGCTTCATCCTTCTTCATTTTGGTCTGATTCAATTCGTAACGTATTTCTCCACACACCTGTTAGATCAAATAGATAACATCCTGCAGTTTCAGGACTCCACAAAGTAATATTTGTTTAGAGGAGAACTTTTGATGCCCTCTAGTGACTATATTTATTATTTCATCATTTGCACTAAATTCTGTAAAGTTTTTATATTGTACTCCTATTTTTTAAAATAATGCTTTAGAGGGATGCTTTACATAGCAGCCCCAGAACTCCTTGTCTCTCTCCCACACTCTCTCTTTTTGTTAATGGCCATATAGCCACCAATTGGATTCACCGTTGCTGTTTAAGCCAAAATATACCCATCATCAATCAATTCCAGAAACATAGATATTATACAACAAGCATAATCCACAGGCAATGAGATTTACTTAATTATTCAGAGTTACTTTTAGGAGTAATAGAGGGAAAGAGGGGAGAACATATTCCTATTTATGAGGCAATAGGAAGACATCCTGTCACTATGTTGAAGGAATTTTATTGTAATGTTACTGGAAAAATAATGATTACTATTTCATGTTTCATCCCAATATAATTGCAATTCCTTCGCTCCCTTCCTCAGCCCAACAAGAAAATATTTTCTTCAAAGCATTTTCTAGGAAAAGAAAAGGTGATGGAATGGGACACTTTTTGAAAACAAGGAGAATTCTTAAATATATCAAGATACAGAGACTAGAATTCTCATTTTTTATTTCTGGAAACTTGTATACTTGCACCATATAACTCTTGAGTTGAGCAACTTCTCTTTCTCGGGGGACCTTTCTTTTTCAAAAAAGGTATCTAAGATTTGCAGGACTGAATGGAAGTGATACGGTGACATTATCACTGATCGATAGGGCTGAAATGTTACACCATTGATTAATTAGGAGGCTTTAGGTGATTTACACAAAATTGTTTGTCATTTACTTAACCTGTTTAATTCAACAAAAAGGGCAAAAAGTATCACTGAAAATCACAATTTTATTGCCAAATTTAGAAAAAAATAATCTCAGGGGCTCTGGTGACCAGATAAATGAATTGTGATCGAATTATATACGATCGGTGCAAATTGGCTATTTTTAGCTTAAATTAGGGTTTATATTTTAAGGAAAATGCAAATCTTTTACCCAGACTAGAGTTTCTCAACTTTGGCAAGTTTAAGATAGATGAACTTCAACTCCCAGAATTCCCCATGATAGTCAGCATAGTGGACTGGGGAATTCTAGGAGTTGAAGTGCACACATTTTAAATTTGCCAGGACCAAGAAACACTGATTCAGACAATGAATAAATGATCCCACTTAAAAAAATATTCTGTCATCAGATTTCAAAGTGTTTGAAGTAATGCTGACCTTAGATTTATTCTTCGCTGGAATCTTCTTCTTTTTGCTATTTTAATCATTAGCACTCCTCATACTCTATGAAATAGACTAACCCAGAGCCTCCAGTTTCAGCATGCAGTAAAATAAATACTGAATAATAGGAGTTAATTTTAAAAATATTAATAGAAAAGCCAATCAGTAAGAAACACTTTTTCCTCACAAAATTAGCCCCTTTCATTATCAGGAAGTAGGAAGCTGTAATTAGAATGTATTAGAATAGGAAGGCTACTCTTTAAAGGCCAAAATTTAAGGAGTAAAGTTTATCTCTAGTAAGAACTATAAATCAATAGAAAAAGTAGACATGCATCTTAATAATTATAATAATTAATCTTTCATTGTACACACTGAAAATGATCCTACATTTTTAGCCTCCAAGTAAAAGTAACTTAAGAAATTTGTTGAAATATAACTTTTACACTTGCTAATGCTAAGGCAAATACAGCAATACAATATACTAAAAAATATACATTGCAGTGTTGTGCAATCAACATTCTGCTTTGCTGTCAAGCCAGATTGTAACAATATACCAGAACCAACATTCAGATGAAGGTGATCCAGGGGTATCAAATTCGCAGCCCGCAGGCTGGTTGTGTCATGGGCTGGCCCCGCTCCCGCCTGATTTAGCAAAGGGGAAAAAAGCCCCGATACATCATGTGACACCGCCATGACGACACGAGTTTGACACCTCTGGTCTATCAGGACAGATTCTGACATGGGCTATAAGCTTATACTGACTTTGTTTCAGCAACCATTTTCTTGAAATTGAAGACTTTTGAAACTTGATTCTTATTCAGTTACAGACCACATAAAATATTGTAATGCTACTGTACTGACAATAAGTTTAGGTTTTTAGTTTTTATTTGGCACTTATTTGCAAAGCCATTTATTGACTGAACTTACTGTAAATCCTCTGCTGCTTCTCCTTTGTGCTGGCAAAGCTCAACTGCTCTCGTTGCATCAGTTATTTATTTAGATATCAAATTTATTTGCCAGAGTTCAAACGACTCTAAGCTTTTTAGTTAAAGTTAATTTATACAGTTAAAATGGGAGCTAGTGAAAACTGCCTCTTCTGTATTTTCAAAAACTATTCTACCTTATTGATCTCCATTTCACGAGAAGCATGGTGGTTCTGAGCTTCTTCCAGCTGATGGGTTAGGGAGACCTTTTCCCTTGTAATCCTGTCAATCTGAGACTCCAAACCAGCAACATTCTGAGATAAAGACATTACCTGAAATAAAAGATAAAGGTATTACCTGAAGTAAAATGTTCAGGCAAAAGATTATGCAGATATTTCCACTGGTGGGGAAAGATTGAGTTCGCTCCTAAAAGTAGGCAAACAAGATTTCTTTCTTTGCAATTTGTATATTCCTTCCATCAAATGCCTATAGGAGCTCTAAACTGGTAATAATGCAATCCTTTATTTAGCTGTTATTAGGTCAATTGCTCTGCCTGAGAAAAATTCTGATAAATTCATTAAAAATGAAATGGAAAATCATTATTTTATTGGGATTGTTATAATTTTACCTGTTGTATAAATAACAAAATGAATATCCTGCAGATATATCAAAACTTTTAGTGGCCCAATATAAGAATATTTAATGTAGAAACTATTATCTGTATTGTAATGAAGGTAAATAAATATTATAATAATAATTACAAATCAAAACACATTTTAACAACTTTAAATACTGGAACTACATTTAAAATAATTAGGTTTTCAAAATGGCAAATACTTTGCAACTCTATTACTTAAAGGAATTTAATTAAAAATACAATAAGTTAACTATAAACCAAAATTTTAAAGAAGTTTATAATCACAATATGCTTACAAGTATGTGCTATGTTTAGATTGCTTAGTACTAAGATTTTAGCTGCAAATGTAAAAAAAAAACACTTCTTCCTATCATGGGTTAACAGTAGATTAGGGTTTTTTTTATTAAGCTATCTAATTATTTGTAATTTAGAGACCAATGCTTGAATTCAATTTATAAATGGTTCATGGGATTGCATGGTCCTTGCACATCTGACTAATAGGCTAAGAGCTAGTAGAAGCAAATCTTTTGCAACGTCAGCCATGATAAAAGAGTATTTAGGGGTTATGTTTAGTATTGGTATATTAGGGTCCTGATGCCTGAATTAGTATGTTAGTATATTACTAATATTACTAATAATCATATTAATAAAATGCTTATTAAGGTTTAACCCTCTTGATTTTACTATGAACCTCTTATACTAGAGCTCTGTTGTGTTGGCTTCTTGTTGACATGTTTTTTGGTGCCATATGCTTGCCTGATAACAGCCAGACAATCTCGGCTCAAGAGTTCCATGTTGTTTAAGACATGACATTTCAGTTGGGAAAAGTTAGTGCATAAGAGCCGTAGTGGCACAATGGTTAGAATGCAGTACTGCAGGCTACTTCTGGTGACCAGCAGTTCAAGTCTCACGGCTCAAGGTTGACTCAGCCTTCCAACCTTCCGAGGTTGGTAAAATGAGGACCCAGATTGTTGGGGGCAATATGCTGACTCTGTAAACTGCTTAGAAAGGGCTGTAAAGCGCTGTGAAGCAGTATATAAGTCTAAGTACTATTGCTATTGCTATTATCAAAACAAAAGACTTGATTATTATTATTTGTATTCTCTGTACATAGCAAAGGAAAGATAATTTTCTTTCTCTGTTGAACAAACCAAACAGATAACTAAATATATAGGCCAAAATTTTGCTAACAGCCATCGTCCTCCAAGCATACAAACACTGGAAATGTTCAGAATGATCAATCTAGAATCTTGCAAGTGGGGAAAAAGATAAAATGCTGCCACCCTCATAACAAAAGTTAAATGTTGTCATCTTTCTTTAGTCAGTCTTTTGTTTATTTGTTACCTTTCTCAAATGTCAACACTTTGATTTAGTTTAAGAAACTGACTCAAGTTAGTTCACTCAAATTACACTCAATGTAATTTGTTTATATGGTAGTTCTTTTTATTTTTAGAAAATGAACATTTTATGTATTTGTTTTATGGATAAACTGCTGTGATAAGAACCATGGAGATAATTTTCCATTAAGTTTTTATTTTTAAAAAAATTTATACATATCATTATGTGGATGGTGTGGTGTTTGAATATCATACATTTCAATACAGATAGACATAGTCATAATTATTACATTCTATTTTCTTATTCCATATTATTTACCACAATCTTTTACACAAAATTTTTATTTTCATATAAATATTAACAAGTATGCAATAATATCTAAACCGATATGTTATAACATCCACCGTATTATCTTTCGTTATAATTTCAATAGTATAACCCTCAAGTAGAAAAAATACAAAATTGTCCATCTGTTTTCTTTTCTCCTGTACACCATATTTCACCCAATTTTACAACAACAATCCATCTCCTTTCCTCTTCTTTTTCCTCCCTCTCTTCCCTTCTCCCCTCTTTCTCTCTACTTCCCTCCTTCCTTTTCTTTTTCCCTCTACTTCCCTCTCTCCCTCTCCTCTCCCCTCTGTATTTCCCCTCTCTCTTCTTCTCCACTTCCCTTTCTACTCTTGTCCTCCCCTCCTTTCCCCTCTCTACCCTTACTCTTTCTCCCCTCCTCTCCTATTCTCTTCCATTCCACTCCATTTCCCTCTCTCTTTTTGTTGTTGTATATAATATTCCCAATACCTACAGGATATGGTGTATTTTCAAATTAATATCTCTTTCAACTATAACTATACAACTTCTTAAAGTTACATTCAAAAATAAAAGAAGCAGACTTAATCACTTAAACATGTGTTATTGGTAATAATAATTATAATATAATATTGATTAATCTTCATATTAATAATTTTACACACATAATCATATTATATATATAATGATAAAGAAATATATATATATATGCAACTACAATATTATTCTTTCAATACTAACATCACTTCATTGATCAAACAGCATACCGTCTGAATACCAGTTTCTCACATCCTAACATTTCAAGCTTACCACCATTTTCATTCTTTGTGTCTATTTTTCATGTTTCTTTTCCTAACTTATTTGACTTTGTGATACATTGCTTTACACTCTTCAGTTCTAAACTTCCACTAATATTTCCCCCCCCTCCACATTGTTATATTCAAGGACATGATACTCTGTTTTGTTATTCATATTCTCATTATTTAACTCTTCCTCTCTGTATATTTTAAAGTTTGTTAATACACATAAATATATCTACTTTCACATTACCTACACAATAGTCATATTTTATATACATTTAATAATACCATCATTCAACCTCTCATTTCCAATTAATGAATTCTCATTCATAATTTTCCAGTTTCATATCTATTTGTGGTAATGTTTATCCTAATATTTATTTATATTAAATACCAACTAATTGTCCAGTCTATATCATTCTAATATTAATACAATTATTAACATATTTATTTGATTTGATTTGATTTGATTTCTATACCGCCCTACTCCCGAAGGACTCAGGGCGGTACACAGCCAAACAATAAAACACATACATACAAAATTTAAAAGTAGAATTAAAATCAAATTAAATAGTTTTGGCCCAGACAAATTAAAACCCTGAACTATTTAAAACCAATTTTAAAATTTGAATATATAAAATACTAAAAGATATTAAAAAATTAAAAATCTTTTATAAAAGACGGAGAAAATTAGGCCAAGCCATATTATCATGACATATCTATAACTCTTTTTCTCCCCTTAACCCTTATCTCTTATCCACGTCCCCTCCTTTAGTCCTACCTTTTTTTTTTTGACTTGTCTCCCCTGTTTTCCTTTTAAGTCTTCTATTCCATCTACACCAAAGTTTATTTTCTGAATCCATAATTTAATTTTTTCTCCTTGCCCTGTCTTTTCCCACGGTTTAATTTGAAAGCTTTCTGCTCTAAATCCTATCATTTCCCTCCAAACCTCTTCCCGTTCCTCCCATTTCTTTTTAAAATCTTTTAAAATGTTTCCCCCGTTTTAATCCCTCAATCCTTATTAATTTTAATAGTGTCTCCTCTTTGTTATCTTCTTTTTGTTGGTTTCTCAGTTCTAATTCCTCTTCTGTTCCAGCTGATCATTCCATTCTTTCCTTCTTGTCCTGGTCTTTGCTCCTTGTCTCTTGTATACAATTTTCCGGTCTTCTATCTATACGATCAAATATTTCCACCATGTCCTTGTATAGTTCCAGGATAAGGTTCTTAATGTCCTTAATCATTAACTCCATTCCGTTTGAGCCTCCACAATCGTCAGTTCAGAAACCAGACCTCCAAGTCAAATTTAAATGTCTCATCAATGTTCAATCAAATCAGTTAGTTACTTCAGGGATCCTCCACTCCTCAAGTTGTTTTTGTATATACAATAGTATTTAGGGATCCCCAGACACAAATTATTTTTTAATATTCCAGTCTCCAGTGGTTAGAAGCTAAATATGTATAGTTCAACAGTTATTTCTCTTCATTTCAATATTTACTCCCAAGTTGCAAAAATTCACTGTCATCAGCAGATGGCGCTCTTTACTTCACTCTGCTGCCGCTCTGCTTTTATTTTGACTCTGCTGCCGCTCTGCTTTTATTTTGACAAGTCAAATTTTTTTCTCTTGCTTAATTTAACTTATAACTGTTACTTATGGCAAATTATTTGAAGAAAAGGTAGGTTTATAGTCCCAGCATCTTAATATGCCTTCTTAATATCACGCCTTTTGTTCTGGGGATTCCATTTCCAACTTAATTTTTTTAAAACAAATATTTACTCCTTTAAATTTCCTTTGCTTCATCATCCCTACAGGGTGGCTATGGCTTCAGTATGAAGCCCCCAACAGGGAAAGCTCGGAACGGACCCACGGAGGTCACGGATATGGTTTCCAAAGGCACCGGAAGTTCAACCGGAAGCTGGAGATAATTTTCCATGATCCTACCTAACACCATTTCCATTTATCCTGGTACCTTTATCTTAACTTGCTACATCTTTCTCTGACTCACTTGTTTCATAGATAAAAAATTATTACATTTTATATTAAATATCTTTATTCACCAACAATTATTACAACCACTGAGCCTAATGACACACTTTGTTATTATAATTTTGCATCCAATCTCTTTTTTTCTCTGGATTGCTGAATAGGAACACATTATCCCTATGAGCTTTCAACACCAAGACTTTATTGCGGGTCAAATTAGCAAATGACCACCAATGAGACAGTCATAAATAATAATTTATAACCAAGATTTGATCAACTGTTTGATCTTCATGCTCTTATATATTTATAAGCTTTCATTTAGTTGATCACTGCCAAACTCATCTTCTAAAACTCCTGTCTTGGCTGGTTCAAAGTGAAGTAATTTGGACAATATTGATGGACTCAAAGCATTTTGCTTCACATATATTTTGGCATTAAAACTAGCATTCTAAAAGGTAATCTGTATGCAACAACTCTCAATTGCCAGACATGAAGTCATAATACTAGTGCTCTAATTGTAATAACCTCCTTGAACATTTCTTCTATTTTCTATATTTTCACTACACTTAAACTTTTCTTGCTCTGATTTAGTCATTAGTGTTCCTCCAATACCTCAGTCAGTAGATGTTATTTACTGTCTATTGTTACAGGTTTTTGAAGGTAGAGGAAAATTTTAGAATTTTTTTAAAAAATTGCTTTTATTTAAGGGCTACAGGATCTGGTAGATAATGAGAGTGGGATTTTCAGCATTTTTCCAACTTTTGTTCCTATTGTTAAGTCTCATGTATACAATAAGCCAATGTCATTGAATTTCAGTAGAAGAAATCTGAGAAGACCCAAAGGTGCTTTTTCAAGAGGCAACTGGACTTTCTCTCCAAGTAGCCTCAACAACTCTTTAAAAGAATGCAAATAACCAGTTGTCTGCAAGAAGCATAAATCCTTCCATTCCCCACCATCCAGTCAGAGCTGAAGAAGCTGCTGGATAAGAAGCAAAACGGCTTCAAAGAAAAAGAAGACAGTCCAGATGCCTCTTGAAAAAGCACCTTTGGAACATCTATGACCTGGATGACTGAGAATCTCTATAGACAAACCTGAGAAGAGTTCTGATTTCTAGGCTTATTCCAATTTCAATTCCAATTCCAAAATGACTCTTGGCCGTTCACCATGGGTTAGCAAATTAACAGAATGACCAAGCCAATTCTTCTACCATAAAGCAAATGAAAAAAAAGACTATTTTACATAAGTTTAAAGACACATTACATCTATTTTATTCTTTCCCATTGTTTGTAAGTTTACTTGGCTCTTTTGCTATCTGTTCCATATCATATTTTTAAATGCAAATCTGAGAAAAAAAATCCAAATTAATGAGTAAGGATTTCATATTCCTCAAATAATAAAACAAGAGCAGTGACTGACTCTGTATATTCCATGCTTCATTTAAAACTTCCTTAAACCATTTCATAGTAATAAATTTGTATATAGGAAATGTAGATACATATAAGAATATTTTGGAGCTAAGTGAAACTATTTAAACATATAATCAAATAGCTCAAGTGTTTAGAACAGTTTCTATTTACTTTCTAATTTTTTAGAATTGCATAAGTACACATTGTTTCCAACAAAAATTCATAAATGTAATAACTACTAAAAACAACAACCAGATTTTTTTGGTAAACAACTTTGGTAAATTGTTTGTGTTCTGAAGTAATTAATTAAAAGTAATTAAAAGATAGGAAAATACCAGTGATGACAGGTTTTCTTTTTCTTTCTTCATTTCTTCACGAACTGCTTCTCGCTCTCCAGCTCTCTTATCTAGCTGAAGCACTAATTCTTTTTCAAGGCGATCTTTCTGTCTCTCCATTTCATTTTTAAGCTGTTCACATTGAATTAAAGCCTGTGGAGATGATGAAGACCACTCTAATATTTGTAGAACCAAATTATATATTCTTTTAATATAAGGCAATTTAATTAAATTTTGGAGAAAAATGAAATTAAAAATTCATTTATATTTAAGTATGTTCTCACTAATATATAAAGATGCATACTGTATATAAATTTATATTATATAAATTTATAACTATACAATATACTTTCAACAGCCACAAAACAATGTGTTGCTCATAAGTGAATGTTGAAAGAATAGATTACTGCTACTTTCAAAGAACTTTAATTTAGTGGTAATACTTGATGTGTCTGTCCTAAATACGTATTAACATTTCACCATAAATATTTTGATTTCACATTTTGAAGTATATATCATACAATGAAAATGAATAAAGGTGCATATATTTGCATACCATGTGAATGTGCTTACTTTATCTCATCTTTTCATCACATTTTTCAAGCATATATTTTGTTCCAATCTGAGACCAAATTTGCTAAATTACTCAATTTAAATGTTATTTTCTTATGTGATATTAGTATTTTAAATCAAACCTTATTAGATAGGCAGTTATTTCTTGGGTCTTGTTTGAAACATAATCAGGCTTAAAAGAAAGTAAATATACTCTTGTTGTTTGACCATAAAGTCTCTACAAAATATTGCTTTCATTTAATCATTAATTTGTCATTAAGAGACCTTACAGCCATTACTTTTTTCTATTTTGATTTTGCAAGGCTTAATCTGTAAAAATATTTTTAATATTATTAATGTATTTTCTACACTTTTATCCCAATTTTCCTCCAGGAGCAAAAGGTGACATACAACGCATGCTTTTCTCCAATTTTTCCCCTACAACAACAACCCTGTGTGATAAGTTAAGGTGACAGAGAAAGAGTGTGCTGAGGTGATGAAATTTCCTGAGAGTAAAACAGAATCTTGCTTTCCTTATCCCCAGTCAAACACCTTAGCAAGTATGTTACCCCGGCTTTCAGATTTACAGCTTCAGTGCAAGCTTTTAAACCTACATGGCCATTCAGTAGCTTTTCAATAATTACACTTTATTTTTTTTTTATTGATATTAAAACAAGAAATTTGATAGGTAAATTGGTGAGTAACAAAACTGCCACCTTAAAAACATATATTTCTATATATTTTTGTTTTGTTTATTTTTTAACCATCTGTCATCTACATATACTGAATATAAATTATCCTAGGTCTAGTGATTCTAGTTTACACAAATATGCAGGGTCAACTCTGAAAATGAAGAATACATGCATAAGCACTCTGCTTACACAGGTGCAGTGCTGACCCAAACAACATTCTCTGCATGTGGCATCTTCAGCAATTCTTGTTAAAGTGACAGGAATAAGAAATGTTATTTTACAGAACATTGTAAAATACTACAAACCAAATCTCTGGTTTGCTACCATTGGGTACCTCCTGAAATTATTGAAGTTAATGAATGATATTGTCATATCACTATTCCCAGAACTGAAGCTAACTGGATTCTTTCAGAGTATACTTGAATTCCATTTGCACAATACAGTTTGATCCCTTACAAAAATAATGTTTGCTTCCAATACAAATTTCTTTCAACTATATGCAATATACTAATACCACAGCAGATGGCGCTAGTTACCAAGGTAATAAATCAATCTAAAGCAAATCTTTAATATAAATCAATCTAAAGCAAATCTTTAAATCTTCCTCTTTCTGACAAACCATAAATAGGAGAGGGAATAGGGAAAAGGGTATCTGAGACCAAGCTCATGCTATTCAAATTAGCAGCCTGTCAGCGTTCCAGAAAAACCCCAACTCCAAGTAAAGACACAGAAGCAAACATTTTCCAAAGTCCTCTTTACTAGAATTGGCAAACTGGCACATCTGGGGAAACCCGAATCTGAAAAGCCCAGGTTTTCCTTCAGTAAATCAAACTCCCAAAACCATCCCCTTTTCCACCCAGTTAGTCACATGCTCCAATCAACATCTGTTCCATCCCGATCCAGCCCCCTGACCACTCCTTCTCCAGATGCTGGATCGCTCTGACCTTGACCTACAGGAAGAATGCTATTATGTCTACTAACAACCCCTCTCCTACTTTCCCACACGTGAGAAGGTGGCAGCATTGGAGCTTCCGGCCTAAATATGGCTTCCAAAACTGACACAGCCATTAGGCTGTATGAATACAGGTAGTCTTTCACTTGTGACCACAATTGGGACCAGAATTTCTATTGCTTAAGTGAGGTATTCGTTAAGTGAGTCTGATTTTACAGCCTTTTTTGCCATAGTTGTTAAGCGAATCACTGCAGTCGTTAAGCGAATTGTGCAGTCATTAAGCAAATCCAGCTTTCCCCATTGACTTTGCATATCAAAAGTTGGCTGGGAAAGTCACATTAGGACAGATTCCATTAAATCTAGCATTCAAAGCCTAAAGTAGTCAAGCAAGATGTTTCTCAAAGGCACAAAAACAAGGCATTACTTTCAGAATTCTTGCATACTGTAAATGGTAGATACAATTTCAGATACCTAAACTATTGTGTCTTCGCACAATTTTACCTTTGTTTTTTCCAAATTAGCTTCTTCACTCATGTGTACTGCTTGTTTCACTTGTTCATAAGCGCTGCACTCCCTCTGTTGCATTTCATTTAAATTTATTCTTATTGTAGAAAGTGCTGCCATTAACTCATCTCTCTCTCTTAAACAACAAGAGAAAAGAAAGAAAAGATCAATATATTAGACAGGTAGGAGATACTTTAGGGAGATAAAGAGCAACATCAACATTTAGTAACATTTATAAGTTATTGTATAGAAAGCAATCACATTAGATTTATGCCAGTTTTTTAAAAAAAGATAGGCAGAGTCTGCCACATCTTTACACATTAAGCTGTAAATTAGCAATGATTCTACAAGTAGTAGCTTAGATTCCAGATCAGGAAGGGATAATCTCGGCTCCCTTCCCAAGAACTCTCCCCCACCAATTCCTGCTGAAAGTAATATGGCAGTGATGGCAAACCTTTTCGGCACCGAGTGCCCAAACTGTAACGTGCATGCACCGGAGCCCCAAAAACTCGAAGACCAGCTGGCCAGTGCGCATGTGCATGACAGCCAGCTGGTCTTTGAGTTTCCGGGGCTCCACCACGCATGCGTTCCAGTTTGGGCACTTGGTACCGAAAAGATTCGCCATCACTGTCCTAGAAGGTTGCTACTCCCATGCCCATCAAAACCAAACAGAAAAAAATTGGCCAGAAAAAATATAGTTCTATTATTTTCAGTGATTTTATGGCATGATCAGAAAGCTTCCTGTAAATCTGCAGAATTTCATAAGACTAAATAGCAGCCCCCAAGTCTTCAAATATTACCTAGAATAAGAAGGAATAAACAATACATATATGCAGGATCCAATTTGGGTCAGTCACCAGGACCAGAGGTTTAGTCTTCTGAGTTTTCGGACTTGTGCTGGAGCACCTCTTCAAGTAACTTCTCTCTACCGGAATGTATGCTTTGGGCTATTCTATGCATCTTATTTATATGGTGCCTTTTTGGCTGCAGTTTCCTAGGACACGTATATTTGCCTTCATTTGTTAATACATATGTGGCAGATAAATTATTTGTACAGCTCTAGTTATAGTCAATTACTTATAACTCTGACTTCAATTGTTAAATATGATGATTAGAAAATAGAGAAAATGAAACTGGGGCAGATCCTCATTCAGTTGGTAAAATCCTATTGTTTATTTCTCAATTACCTTTTTTGGAACCAATGATTTCCATTTTTAAATTACATATAAAGAGCATTTGTAAAGTATGGGTTGGATAAATTTAATGTACAAAAAAGACAAACGGAATTATTTATATTTACTTGTTGGCTTCATTTGCTCTGTTGGGAATGTAGATAAGTATTGAGTCTTTTAGGATCTTAGCAACTAGAAGGGCTGTATGAAAACCTCTTGTTCTGTTAAAGGAAAATGGAAGCCATGTGTGAAATGGAGCTAAGGGACTCATTAAAAACCATTCCACAATCAAATAAAGCACTTGGTTAGGAGTCTGTGGTAGGTGGCTGCTGAGCAGGAAGATATTCTAAGAGGAATAATGCTGTCGTAAAGCTTCCTTACATTGCAGTGGGTCTTCATAGTCAATTGCACTAAAATCACTGATGTTCATGAAATTATGTTACAATTGTTATACTCTGTGGGTTTTTTTTAAAAATTCAGAACTATCCATCTACTTACTTGGTTAGTCTTTCAATGGTTTGCATATGGACATTTGAATGAGTCTGAGAAAGAACCGCTTCATGCTGTGCACAATTTAAGCAGAGACCACCAGGCCTATTAGAATTATTCGCTGCATTGATCAAATGCTGATGTTTTAATCTTCCGCTCAGCTCTTCACAGTTTTTTTGTGACTCTGATAACGCTTTTCTGCAACAATAACAACATAAAAGAATTATAAACAGCATACAAGGTCGGAGTACAATAATGACTGGAAAGCAACTGGAACAATTTTTTTCATACTGCTTTAAGCTTTCTAAAAGACCACAGCTTTCTGCCACATTAAAGAACAACCAGTTTATCACCACATAAACCTTTCATGGATCACAATCCACATCGTATGTATAAAATATTTCCTGAGTAAAGATTACCATATGTCACGGCTGGGGAAAGGGAAGAAAGCATGGTGAAACAAGAAATGAGAGGCAAAAATGAATAGTGACAAATAAAAGAGCATCACTCCAATATGAAACAGATATTTTTAAATTAAAAAGCTGGATAATGTGTATCTATAGCATGATAAGAAAGCTTGATCTCTGTTTTAGGAGTTAGAAATTTTGTGTGCGTGTTTTTAATGAAATGAACTGAATGATAGTGACTTAAATAGTTTGTATATTTGCCTATTTGCCCACTTCAGATCTTGGCAGGAAACGACTGAAAGGTCTGAATAATCCACTTTCATACATTCATCAACTGCACACCAGCCTCCTTTTCAACAACCTTTTCTAAAAAGGGAGGGTTAGAGACAGGGTGATAGTTAACTAAAATTATTAGTTCCAAGGATGGCATCTTAGGAGAGGGTGCAGGAAGTACTGCCCCTTCCTTAAATAGGCCAACAACCACAGCACGGACCTAAGGTCATTTTTATTTGTTTTGTGGATGTTTTTGCTGTTTTAATGGGTTTTTTTTACACTGTTTTAATTGTTTTATAATTTTAGAATTATAAATCACCTAGAATCATGGATGAGTTGGGCAGCTGTAGAAGTTAATTGATTGATTGAATGAATGAATGAATGAATTTTACTGTGCAATCATAAAATAACCATGCTGCAAAATAGAAAGACACAAATCTTTCACCTTACAAATAACTAATATTTTTAAAAATACTATTTTAGGCACCAGAGGGACATGGATGAACTGAAACAAGCATTTTCCCGTTCTGAAAGTTTTATCTGTATAAAATGGCAGTATGGTTGTAATGTTAGGGATTTTTTCCCCTCTAGATACTGATTGATGCTTTGCAATAACTTAGCAATCCTACCAGGAAAGCAACAAACATATATCCCATTACAGAATCCAACTGCAGAAACAGATTCATTATTAAACTATAAGGCATATGTCTAAAACTTTTTAAGAGCAGAGAATAAAATAATGATGATTTATTTCTACTGACTTATGGACAGAGATAATGAGGCAAAATGAGACAATTCTATTGAGACATCACGCTTCAATCTAAAAATACATAAACTTTTTTTTACCGTAAAGACTGTATCTGAGCTTCAAACACTTCAGTCTTTTCTTCATGAAGATATTTTAGTTTCTCCTTTAAAATAAAATTAATACCTATCATTTGTTCAGTTATAAATAAGGCATAGTCAGGACTGCCAGGGCATCAGCAAAATTTTAGCAATCTGTCTGTCTTCTAGCATTAAAGTTATAAAGGCTATCTGACTCCCTCATGCTCTGGATATCAAACCAGTACTAGCTGAAAATATAAATTAATTAAATTACACAGCAACCACTCTGCCTGCCTAAGAATAGTCATATACTAACTCATTTTCATCATCATCATTAGGTCCTGTGCAAAGTATATTGGGCAGCATTTTCCAGAGATTTCAATCATCCTCAGCATTAACTAATTCATTTTAACTAAGCATTATTAACTATTGGGTATTTTCTATTAAATTTGCTATCTAAGTATTATTGATTAGAAATGCTGGGAACTGAAATAAGGTTGTTATACATCACATAGAACTGTAAAATACAGATCCACTGAATTAAGCTTTAAATATCAAATCGTTTAGGGATTTAGGTTATCATTTTTTGTAAATTTCTAATATTTAAATTACAAACTTTTTCTTAACCTTTTTTAGACAGAAAATTAAACTTTAACATTCAAAGGCAAAATATATAATTAAAGACATACTTCAGTGTAACGTTATTTGGTAAATGGTTATTTTAAATTATCCACACTTTGTTTTTTCTGCAATGTTGACAATTATTATTCTGCAGCAGGAATATGTGCAGGAATACAGAGCACTGATTGCATCATGTATAATATTCTGATGCATCCTCTCTCGTGATTTTGTTTTTGTTTAAGTTTAATTGTTTTAAATGATTTTTGTAAAATGATTTTAATTGCTGGTTTTATTGTACATCTCCCAAAATCACTTTTGTGAGATGGGCAGCCATATAAATTTGATAGACAAATAAAATAACTTGGATTCAATATTTTTACTTATTGTCTTGACTTACAACCTACTTGAACATTACTATTATTAAAATTAGAAATATAAAATAAATGCAGAACAAAAATGCAGCATACAATAAACTGCAGCAAAACTGCAAAATTTAAAATTTGAAACATGGCAAAATAAAATGTTTAACTTGAGCTCTGCTGAATAGCTTTTTAAAAACATGTTAAAATAAAGAGAGCTTCCAACCATTCCTGGAAGAGTATTTTTGTTTAGTCATCACCTTAGAAAATAGCAATATCCTGGAGGAAAAATGACTGACAGACTGACTGACTGACTGAGTCAGTGTAAATGACTGAAAAGAAATTGGGCTCACAGACAGTTAGATTCCAGGCTGTATAAGATTTTAGAACTGAACAACAAAGATCAGGGGGGAAAAATGGTAACCTGCTACATTATTTTAGGTGACATAAAAGTGTTTCATTAGTTTCTCATCAGCAGCTCTATTTTGAACTGTACTTTCTGGTCATACAATATATTTCATTAAACCAATCTAAATTAATTTAGTTGATTAAATGTTTACACTTTCAACATAAAAGTAGAGCATTTTACCCAAATGATAAATTGTTAATGCTAAAATAATCAACATTTTAAAAATACTGACCAATTCCTGTTGCCACTTTTCCAATTCCAGTGGAGGTGCCTTGGCTTGCTCAATGACATGATAAGATGCTTTAGGAGCTCCACAAATATGAGAATGATCACCATTTATACCACCAGATTTTGAGAGAAGGGTCTGAAACATATATCAACAATGAACGTGCATGTTAAATGTATATACATAGCACACACATTAAAGATATACTATAGGTTTATATGTTTGTTACTGATCTTCTTATATTTATTCATAACAAGCTCAATAACTAATGATAATGATATAACTTTATATATTATATTATTAATATAACAAATTATCAAACTATTTCCACAAGTTATTCCTTCTGTTACAACATCATCTCTGCACCATTTCCAGAACTTTCCTAAGAGCTTTACAAGAGAGTTTTAGTTTTGATAAAGAGATCAGGACAGAAAAACAATGTCGCACAAATGAAATTCTGCTGATAAAATGAGTGGAAGCAACATTAATTGTTACCATATGAAGCCATTAAAATATGTAATTAAACAAAACTCGATATTTATTGATTTATGATGACTAAATTTATTTCTATTTTCAGTGTATTCTGTTCTACAAGACGAGACATATATTTAGTGATAAACTAAACCTATCTGTATGTCCTTCATGTTTAGAAACTTAAGGGCAGAAGGCTTTGCCAGAATCAACGAATGGAGCGCCAATGGAGGAAGACAAAGAATGAATCCAACTGAGTAAGAGCCTCTGTCAGACCTATGTCATGACAATAAAGGTGGCAAAATGTTGCTATTTCTCCATATTTATTGCATCTTCTGATATCAGCCAGCAGCCCTATTTAGAGTAACCCGCTTCATATTCAGGACAGGCTGGGCCTCAGGTTCATCTGCAGGACCATGATAAGAAATATTCATGCAATCTTGCAGACAACGTCAATCAGATTTACTTTGAGTTGGACACTGATTGGGCAAGTCCAACCCAGTTGTAATATTATCTAAACCAGTGGTTCTCAACCTTCCTAATGCCGCGACCCATTAATACAGTTCCTCATGTTGTGGTGACCCCCAACCAGGGGGGTCTGTGGGCGTGGTTTATTTTGTGGGTGTGGCTTGGAGGTCATGTGACTGGGTGGGCATGGCTATGTGTATAGGGACTACTCAGAGGGCTGAAAAAGTCATTTCTGACAGATCCTCGCACTTTTGACTGGTCCTCACACTTATGACCATGTTCACATTTATGCCCGTGCAGCATTCTTAACAACCGTGTCACTCATTTCACAACTGCTTCTCTTCACCATGGTGACAAGCTAGGGCAAAAACGTAAAATGTGAGGACAGTCGTAAGTTCGAGGACTGGTCAAAAGTGCGAGGACCAGTCAGAAATAACTTTTTCAGCCCTCTGAGTAGTCCATATGCATAAAAGGATACAGCAATAGAGAGGGATGAAGGAAGGGAAGGGAAATTAGAGTAGGAGGGAGGGTAAGAGAGGGAGGAAGAGAGGAGGAGAAGGAGAAAGGAAGAGGAAGTAGGGAGGAGAAGAAGAGGGGGAAGAAGAGAAAGTAAGAAGGAAAGAAAAGAGAGAGGTGGTAGGTTTGAGGAGAAAGATTGCTGTACAATAAAAAAGATGAAAGGGAAGAAAACCAACCCCAAACAAATATAAAGATATTAAGATAAAGAATGAATTGTTAAACTTTAAAGAATAAAAGAGAACAAATATGAATAAATAACAATAATTAGAAACACACATACAAACATACAATGTATTTTCTTTGAACAGAGTATTTGGCCGGTTCACAAATTTAGTCATTTCAATTAAATTTACAATTTCTATATTTCCTTTTTGCCATATTTATTCCTCATCCAGTTTTGTAAAAAACCAATATTACCCTTCATCCTCATCTCTAATCTTAATCAAATTCAATTTTTCCCTTCTATTCTATATTATACCCCTTCCCGTTGTCATCTATTTTTATATCCATTCTCACATTGGTTAATTCTGTAATATTATAATTGTTTAATATAAATTCAACATTTTAATATAAATCAATTAATTATATAACTACCTTTTTGTATATTAATCAATATGAACATGAATATTCCAATTATTTCCATGCAATCCAATTTCTTACAAATCAATTAATTATATTTACCAATAATAATAAACCAAATAATTTCCCCCATATATTCCTCCAAACCACAACTTAACCATTTCTGCTTTCAGAAATATACAATTAATACTATCTCAATTATTACAATTCCCTAATTAAATAGAGCTTTTTTTCTTTTGTGTTTTAAAATCTTGAACTCTCCTCTTTCTCCCTAAATTTCCCACTGTTTGCACCTACCTTTTTTGGTGAGGAAAAAGAAAAGAAATCTGCCTGCCTAATTTTCCAACCTTGCAGCAACAGCAAAGCAGTTTCAGTTTCGTTTTTCAGCATAGCTAGGGGGAAAAAAATCTGCTCCAGGACTCTTTGCAAGGAAGCAGCAGAGCCCTGAGCAAAACAGCTGAGACAAATCAGCTGAGAGTCGGGAGCCGATCTAATCAAGGGCTAATTAGCCTATGCTGAAGCTCCGCGGGCCAATAAAATTACAAAAAAACACCGAACCATTTGTTAAATTGCTGGCTCGCCCGCCCCTCGCCCACCACTATTTATTGGCAATAAATAGTGGTGCGGAGGGGCGGGGCAAGCCAGCAATTTAACAAACGGTTCCGGCAGAATCCCACCACTGGCTATAGGGCAGCCCTTTGAAGCCCTGCAGCAAGAATTTAAACAGTTTTTTTTCCTCTAGCCATCAGCTGGGACTCAGGAGGCAGCAATAGATTTGGGGTGGGCGGGGTAAGCTAACGGCCGGCGATCCAACAGAGCAGAGAGTGAGGGTGAGTGAAGGCATGGGGGGGAGCGAGAGAGGGCTTTGGCGACCCCTGTGAAATGGCCGTTCGACCCCCAAAGGGATCACGACCCCCAGGTTGAGAACCACTGATCTAAACTGAGCTTGATTCTGTTAGGTCTGAGGATGTGGTTAAAGTCCTTCTGTCTGTTAGTTTAGCCATCTTTATGTTAGATCCTGGCCCCTCGTTCAAACAGAAACTAGATAGCCCTTCATCCAAAATATTTCAACAGATCTTGCCCAAAGCAAGGGTATGGATTACTGAGGTTCCTTCAAATTATTATGATTTTATAAAAAGACAAAATATTAAATTATGCAAATTGTGTACTATGCTGTGTGCAATACAGATCTATCTCTCTGTTTATATATCTGGTAACATAAGCTGCATATATGTGACATATTTTGATGCATTATTACATTTCCTACAGATTTCTTATTAAATAAAATTTTAAGACTACATTTTTATTTATATTTGACATTTTAAATTCCATAGAACTCACTGAGGCATTGATGACAGTTTGCTCTCTCAAGATCCGCTCTGTTTCCATTTTCAGATCATTTTGTAGCTTCTCATTTTCAACTACAACAACTTGTATACGTGCTTTCAATTCAGATATTTCTTCCTAGAAAGTTAAGTAATTATTAATGTAATTATTTAAAAATGGAATCAATCCTCTTCACAAACAAAATGACAGTAGTGTAATTAACATTCAATTTTGCATAAAATCTTACATCAATGGAAGCATAGCTAAATTTAGTGACATATCAAACAACAGAAAAGGATTTCTTGCAAGTTCTAGCATGCTTGAAATAATATGCTACTGGAATACAAAATTCATTTAACAACTGTCTCGCTTAGCAACAGAAATGTTGGGCTCAATTGTGGCTATAAGTCAAGGATTATCTATAATTTTTTGTTATTTATTGTTCAAATTCTCATGTTTTTAATATGGTATTACAGTAGAGACAGTTATTTCCTATTTCAGGTACATCTAAAGCTGTTGGCTAAAATAAACTTTTCACCAATAAAAATAAAATGAAATGCTTTCTTTTCTATTACTAAAAATTATCTCTGTTTTGAATATAATATACAGAATTGTGGGGTTAAAACTTCAAATGTTAATGGCAGATGAATAAAGCTGCCTTGAAAGAACAGGTACGATACCTTGCAAAACTTGACTTCAGCTTCTAAATGATTAATATATTGAGACTGATCATTAATGATGGGAACAAGTTCAGAAAGGGCAGGCAAACTGTGATCAGTAGCTTTGGATGTTCTCTAGAGGAAATAAAAGGCAACAACACCAGAATTACATGTTTCAGATAAAATTCTTTCCAAACTGTTTCATATTAGAATAGCATTTTAACGTAGAATAATTTACATTAAGAAATCTATCAAATGGGTTCCCTTCAGTAATAGGATGCTGATTGCTCAGAAGGAATAGGAGGCCATTTCAAAGTAGATTGAGGTCTTCCTGAGTGGACGGATATAGGAAAAGGATGAAAGAAAGCTTGAGGAAGCAAATCCTGACTTTCTGCTACAAATGTCTGTTAGCAGAAGATTCCTATTTTCCACTCAAAGAAAGCCTCTAAAGCAGATAGAATGTAAACACTGCTGCTTTGTATTTTTTTTAATTTTAATTAAGCATTCAATGTTCGTGTACTTCATGTACCTGCATATGCACTGTACTTTTACAATTAAGCATGATAGATAAAAGTTGATTTATTTTAGTTTATTACCTGACATATATCATGTTTAATCCAAACAGAGGTACATATGCATGTACAGACAATGCACAAGCATTGATATGTATGTAAGATGGAATAAATATTTATCAAAGGACTCTTGGACTACTCTTTGTTGATAGACTGAACTATTTGAGTTGATAACAAACTGGGCTTTCTGATAAACATCTTGGGACCAACTATTGAAAAACCATCTTGATGTCGATTTCTGTGAATACATCCATCCCAACTTCTAATCTCCTTTTTTTTTTAAATCTAATTTTAATCTATTTTTTTCTCAACTGGAATACTAAACTGCCATCAGAAAAGAATCAGGGCATATTTATGGTGGTCTTCATGTTTTCAGATGGCCTCCCTAAGATGTTTGCTCGCTTATTTATTTTTATTTTTTTAATTATTTATTTATATTCAGTCAGTCAGTCAGTCAGTCAGTCAGTCAGTCAGTCAGTCATTCAACTTATGCCTCACCAAAATCCAGCAACCCTCAGATACTTTAAAACAGACATGGTATAGTTAAAATGACACAATTAAATTAAAACCCTTCCAACTAAACGAACAAATTTAAACATTAAAACAGTAACATTTTTTTATTTGCAAACTGCCCAGAGTCAGATGTAGAAATCTGACAAATAAATACAGTAATACATGCATAAACAATGAATTAAAAGCAATGATAGAGTAAGAGATGGTGCAGTCCTAAGGCTAAGAAAAATGTATCTTATATAAGTCTACTCTTGATGTTTTCTAAAGACCAAGAAAGAGGAGGCTAACTTGATCTCTACCAAAAGTCTACTCCCAAGACCCACCACTGTCTTTCTAGCTTTGGCTGCTTTTGCTTCTCAAAAGTGGGGCTTTGAGTAGTTTCTCAGACTAATCAGTCAGCCAATTCAGTTGGAGAGTAGATACCCTGTAGCTACCCAGATGCTGAGCCATAAAGAGCTTTATAAGTCAAGTCCATTATTTCTTGAAAGCAATCAGTGCACAGGCTTCAGAATTGGTATTACATACACACAGCACATAGGCTGATGAATGTTGCTATAGTTTCTGAGAAGTCTTTAAGAACTACTCCATACAAAGTGTGTTGCAGTAGTTCAACCAGATGGTAATGAAAGGATGACTTGTATAACTAATTTCTACTGCATCATATAAATTGCAATTGGTCCACCAGCTGAAGCCAGGCAAAAGCTCCTCTAGGCATGCGTCCATCTGCTCTTCGACCAAGAACTTATTTTTTTTGTGTGTGTGTGTGTCCAGATCAAACCTTAAACTGCCAAAATGAGGCCACCTTTTTGGCTTTATCATTAGCCAGAAACAAATCACTTTCAGTGCATTCTACTGGTAATATTCGACAGACCAACAAAAGGGCCGGGCTCTTTATTTTTCCACATTCACACAGCATCTGGTTATCCGCTAGCAACCCCCATTTCAGCATATTGGTTTTACACTTAGGCACTCCCACCCCCAACCTATTCAGTGTCCTCCAAGTGACACAGAGGAGATCAGATTGTGGGATTATTCCTTGTGCCATTAATTCTTTCCTTCATTTCTAATTCATTTTTGCTCCTGTGTCTTCAAGAATATTTGTTTTTGCCATAAAACTCTTCCTAGATCTAAATTGACAGGTTTGGGGCATGTATCCATTCAAAGGATGCTGATCATTCTCTTGTTTTGCTTCTCTCGGCATCTGCTGCTAGTTGTCTCCTAATCCTAGGTGGAGGAATACCAGCAACAGTGGTTCCATTTTACTTAGATTCAACTTCAGCCTACTCTGTTCTATTTTACAGCCTCCAAGCCCAGAATAGGGCAGTGACAGCATACTATATACTCTACAGCTGATGATTTAAAGTTAGTTATGATTGGAGTATAGATAATACCACACCTTAAACTAACGTATCCCCACTTTTAACATCATATGATGTTAAAAGAGCAGGAGAGAAAGGACTGATCTGCACAGCAACGGACATTCCAGGGACTACTGGATGATCCCTCACCTTCTACTACCTCAGACTAAAAACCATCCACTTAGGAAGAAAAAGCTACTACACAATGGGGTCTCCAATGGTCCAATAAGATACCATGATTAAAAGGTCATGTTTATGATCTTTATTCATTTTAATCAAAAGGCCTACCAGTTTCTTTTAAAAAAGCATATCCTTTGCATTTTGGATATATAAGCTATTCAAATATATTACAACTGTAAAAAAACCAAACACCTGGTATATAAAAGAATAATATGGATCCAGAATACTAAACCTATTTAAAGAAACAATGAAATGGCACTAATTTCAATGTTTGCAAAAACCGGAAAAATATAACTGGGAGGGATCGTAGCTATTTTCCCTCAGAACAAATAGCCATACTGATCACCGAAAGAAAGAAATGTGACATTAAACTATCCTGACAGTTTATTTATTTATTAAATTTATTTGCCACCCATCTCGCCACAAGGTGACTCTGGGCAGCTTACAGTAATAATAATATTAAGAGTACATTAAAAGTGGTAAAACTATAACAATAAGAATAGAAAATAACTAAAAGAATACAAAATTATAATTAAAAGATGGGAGGGGAAGAAGCAAGATGAGTAGAGGGGCAGATGGGATCTACTATTAGTCCATCAATCACCTCCAAAATGGTACTCTCCCCCTCTTTGGAACTCCAGGCCAATTGACAGAGCCAGATTTTCCAGGTCAGGATAGCGGGACCAATCTCAACCCAGGGGCAAGATGTTCCAAAGGGCTGAGACCACAGCAAAGCTCTTTTCCTTGACCCCGCCAGCTGGAATTCCTTAACTGACAGAATCTGTGGCATGTCTCCTCTGCCAGTATGAGTGGGACAAGTCTATCCCATGGATGAGATGGTTCCTCAAGCAACCTGAATCATACCATGTAGGGCTTTATAGGTAATAACCAACACCTTAAATTGCATCTGCAGTCAGTGTAGCTCGCAGACAGAGGTGTAACATGGACCACTTTGGGGGGTCCAAATACTGCATTGCATTCATCACCAGTTGAAGCAGCTGATGATGCTACCTAGTTTGGGTAATGAAATGGCTACAAGAAAACAACCAAACTCAGAGAGCACCAATACCCCTCATTTCAACTGTGAGCTACAAATATTCTCTATCAGTATTGTGACACGTTTTCATCAGAGTTTCATCTTTATAAAAATATTTCATATTTTATTTCGCTATCAAGATACCATTCTCTACATTAAATCAGGGGCTCAGAAGGCATATGGGTTTCCCCTCTGGATTGAAGGACTACAAAGGGGGATGGGAGATAGAAGCAAGCATTTTCTGTGATGGCCCCAGTGCTATGGGATATGCTATCCTTTGAAATTCCTAGAATCCCCACATTCGTATCATTTTGAAAGACCTGGCTCTTTACCAGGGCATTAGGAATGTTTGTTTGTTTGCTCTGAAGTGTTTTAATGAGATGTTTCAAGTTTAACTTCATGATTTATGTTGCAAGGCTTTTATATACTTCTAAGTTGCCCAGAATCTTGGAACCAGGCAAATTATAAATTTTAGTAAGTGAATGAATGCCCAAGTAACACTGTTTACAAAATATATGGTACTTGCTATGTTAAGATATTTTGAACCATTCAATGCTGTGGGATAAATACTGGTTGGGTCCAGGAAAAGAGCCTTTTCTTCTGTGGTCCCCACGCTTTGGAATATTCTCCCAACAGAGATGAGATCTGTCTCCACACTCCTCTGGAACAGTCTAAAATTTGGCTCTGCCACTTGCCCTGAGGCCATGACAGGAGCCTGCTACAATGGGATGACTGAGGGGATAAAGAAAATTCTTGCTCCCAGGCTATCCATCATTTTGGCCTTTAATTTTTAATCTTTTTATTCAAATTTTAATTGTTTTTAGCACTTTGTAACTTTTTATTTTATTGTAAGTCACTCGCTGTATTAGTGAGATGGCCTGTATAGAAATTTAATGAATAAATAAAATTGATTCATGATGAACAATCTCTCATATCCTTTTGAACTCACTTCCTCTCTATAATCTTAAATAGTCTTTAGACTCCTTAAAATTTTATATTAAAATTCCACTTTTTCAAGAGACCTTTTAATGCTTTTTCCTTCTGTCTAATAACTTCTAACTGGGGAATATTTTTAATTAGCTTCCATTAAAGCATATAAATTGGTAGTGCTCAATAAATAAATAAAATCTTAATATGACAAAACCCTTCATCAGTTTAAAAAGAGTTGAAGAAATGTTGTTGTCTTTATCCTCTCCATACATTTAGCAGAAAAAGACAATGAACAAATAACAGGGAATATTTACTATCAAATAAAGCACATATTTATATGCTTTTATGTCTAGTTATGGTTTTGATAAACTTGATTTGCAGGTTTCCAGAAGAAAAACCACTCAGAAGAAAAATTATTTGACATGTGACTTGTCAGAAGTTATCAATGGATTTAATAATTATCTTTTCCTTCAAGTAGAAGTTTCAAAACTTTTACACACATGTGCAAAATAGCAATAGGAATACCACTTAGACTTATATACCACTCCATAGTGCTTTACAGTACTCTCTGAGGGGTTTACAAATGTCAGCATATTGCCCCCAACTATCTGGGTCCTCATTTTATCAACCTCAGAAAGATGGAAAGCTAAGTCAGTCTTGAGCCACAGCAGCATTGAACTCCGGGCTGTGGGCAGAGTTAGCCTGCATTATTGCATTCTAACCACTGCACTAACACAGCTCAAAATCAATATGTGGTATATATAAAGACACTTGCAGGAAATTCAGAAACATATCTCCACTGTTACACTAAAAGGATCATAACGCGCTTGCAAATAAATTCAGACCTTTCTCTTCAATCTCATCCTTATGCTTTGCCTTGTCATGTCATTCACAATTCATTAGATATATAATGCTGAACTAACAATAGGTAGCTTAAAATAAATACAAAAGCTTATATATAAGCTAGCCTACTAATGCTTTGTTAAGTAACTACATAACTCATCAAATGAGACAACATAAATACTACTTAGATACTGTTCTGTAAACAGAGATGTAATTATTTGGTCATGTAACAAGAGATAAAAAGAGGATAATACTTACTGTGGGTGACATTCCTCTCTTCTTTGAAGGTGATATTTCACTCCCCTTTTCTTCTTGTTGACGTAATAATGCTTTAAGCTGATTAACTATAACACAATAGTAAAACATATTTTACCTAAGATAATAATTCTAGTTTGAAAAAAAAATCAAATGGAAAATTTTAAACCTGCATGGCTGTACTGTAGCTCCTGCCAAGCGTTATCTTCAGTCACTTCTTGGCCCGAATTAGGAAATAACCGATCCAACGTAGCTGCACTTTCGCCTATGGCCAGATCTTTTTCATGGAAGACATATTTCAATTGATCAAGGCTTTTACTAGCACGATCTAAAAATAATAATTTTGAAAGTTCACTGTGATTAAAAGTTTCTTTGTGACTCGGTAAGAAATACAGATAAGATGTATTATCAAGATTTTTATATCTATAGAAACTGAATAAGGAGAAATTCAAAGACATAAGTTAGTTTGCTTACTGAATATATTTTAACTGGAGAGATAATTCATAGGAGCAAAGAAAGAATAGAACAAGGACACTAATATATATATTATAAACGAGCAGATCAGAGCCATCTATGCCAGTGAGACCTAAAAAACTACTACAAGAATTATTCATTAAGATCAGTGGTGGGTTCCTCCCGGTTCGGCCCGGTTCAGTCGAGCCGGTAGCGGTGACGATGTGATGTCACCGAACCGGTTCTCTTTGTCTGGGAGCTGGGCCCTCCAGCCCGCTCCCGCATTATTCCTACCTTTATTTCGAAGCGCGTGCATGAAGAGAACCAGTAGTAACGCTGGTTGGAACCCACCACTGATTAAGATCTACGTCTTCCAACAACATTGTTTCAGGAGGATTCCTGAAACATCTCATATTGCGACCATGTTACAAACAAGGAAGTTCTATAAAGAAGTAATTCCTGAAGACTCTCTGAGATAGTGACAGAACGAAGAAAGTACTTTGCTGGAAATGTGTTCCAGCAAAATCAATTGATGTGTGTATATGTCTGACTTTATGGGGAGGATTGTTTATTTCCAATTTCAGGGTTATTTTCAGCTCTAATATTTTAATTAAGGTACCATATTTTTCGGAGTATAAGATGCACCTTTTCCCACAAAAAGAGGGTGAAAATCTGGATGCATCTTATACTCCGAATGTAGCCCCGCCCAGCCTCTGAAATAGAGCGTCAGAAAAAAAGCCCCTGAAATGAAGCTTCAGAAAATAAGCCTCTGAAATGAAGCTTCAGAAAAAAAAGCTTCTGAAACGGAGCTTCAGAAAAAAAAAGCCTCTGAAACGAAGCTTCAGAAAAAGCAAGGCGCAGAGCTCACAACCAACAAAACTGTTGCTAAAGTTCACCTCTGGGAACAGCTGATTGGGGGTATTCCAGGAGGCCAATCCACCTGCCAATCAACTTTTTTCTTATTTTCCTCCCCCAAAACTAAGGTGCGTCTTATACTCTGGTGCATCTTATGGTCCGAAAAATACGGTTGTCTTTGACTTATGATCATAATTGAGCCTGGCAAACATGGTTATAAGTTGTAACAATTGTAAAGTAGTCATCACATGGCCATTATTTATTTATTATTTGAACTTGTGGACCATAGTGGATTTTATGACCTTTTTTTTTGCAGTGGTCATTAAGCAAACATAATGGTTGTTAAAGCAATACTTTGTTTGCAAGGCTGGTTTCTAGAAAAAAACAACATAAATTGCAGTCATGATAAAATGTGGACCAGTTACTGAGTGCCCAAAGTGCAGTCACGTGACCATGGAGGGGGAGCAGATGTTGCAGCGTTGGAACTGGGGTGTAAGTAGCTTTTGAGGATCCATTGTAACTTCAGTCACTAACCAGCTGGTCATAAATTGAAGATTATCTATAGATTATAAGATCTATGTTAAGAATTAATATCCGTTTGACTTCACTGGACAACTTGCCTAACTTCCACACACATATTTAGAAAATATGAGGTCCTTGAAGGCACTGACTCAAGAGGACATTGCCATTTGATTCTTGGAGCAACTACATACTGGTACATAAATTTGTATAAGAATACAGGAATGTAAAGACCACTTTCACCTCGCTTATAAATTACTTTATGGACTTAAAAAAAGAAAAAATGGGACTTATACTAATATCCAATAGAAGAGAATATATAAAGTTGCACCGTCACCAGTGGGAAAATATATAAAGTTGCACCTATTAATGCCAGGTCAATCTGCAATAAGGCCTCTCTTATCAGTGATTTAATCGTTGCTGAGTGGACTGACTTGGCATGTATTACCAAAACCCTGGCTGGGTCTGGAAATGGAGATACTTTTTCAGAGATATGACTAATGGGGCTTCAGGTGTGGAACCAACTCAGATTTTGGACAAAGGTGATGTTATGGTAATTGTCATACTTTATGGCTTTCAGTGGCATTGTACTACAGATCACCAGATGTGAAATCCTGTTCATTAAATTGGGCTCTAGGGATCAGCTGGCACTATTGCTGTTATATCAACCTCTGTCTTGCATAGCAACCTCCCTATCTGAGCTTCTTGGTTCCATTTCTGTGCTGGTAGGAGAGTTCTCCAGGATTATGGTTCTGCGGGACTTTAATCTGCCCTTTCTAGGAATGAGTTCTGAGGTGGCTCGGATGTGCATGGCCACCCTGACACCCACGGGCCCATCCCAGTTTATCTAGAGTCCGACATGGGACAGTGATTACGCTCCAGATCCAGTGATCCTAATGTAATCTGAAATTGAGGGAGCTCTTGGTGTCATGCCCTGGTTTCTATGGGATTCTCTAGTGCCACTTTCCACTTGAGGGAGACTGAAACCATTAGATCACTCTACCGCTGGCAAATTTATTTATTTTTATTTATTTTATTTTATTTTTCAAACTTCTATACCGCCCTTCTCCTTTCGGACTCAGGGCGGTGAACAGCCAAGATAAAAAACATTTATACATAAAAATTAAAAATAGATTTAAAATAATTAAATAAATTTGACCCGTAATTTAAATTTATCAATTTAAAATCCATATCAAATTTTAAAACCAACCATAAAATCAGGAAAGTCCGGCTAACAGAAAAAAATAGGTTTTTAGGGCCCGACGAAAAGTCCGAAGTCGAAGATCACTCGTATCTCTGGGGGTAGATTGTTCCAAAGGGTAGGTGCCACCACAGAGAAGGCTCTCCCCCTGGGGGTCGCCAGCCGACATTGTCTGGTCGATGGCACCCTGAGGAGGCCCTCTCTGTGGGAGCGAACTGGCCGGTGGGAGGCAATTGGTGGCAGAAGGCGATCCCGTAAGTACCCCGACCCTAAGCCATGGAGCACTTTAAAGGTGATCACCAATACCTTGAAGCACACCCGGAAGTCTACCGGAAGCCAATGCAGCTCGCGCAGGAGAGGAGTCACATGGGAGCGCCCCGTCGCTCCCATAATCCCCCGCGCGGCCGCATTCTGTACCAGTTGGAGCCTCCGGGTGTACCCCAAATGATGAACCCTGATACATTTCAGAAGGAGCTGGGGGTTCTTTCTGTTGTTCTGATGCATAGTTCATTCAAAGTTTTGGTTGTCACTTGGGACAATGGGTGACTGAGGTGCTGCATCAAATCATACCCGTGTGAATTCTCCCCTCTCTGGGATCCTACTATTCTCCATGATTTCCAGAGGAACTTGAGGGAGATGACACAAAAGAGATATATATAGAACATAATTGATGCTCAATTAAGGACAAATTCAATAAAAACACTATTAAGGTACTGATAAGGTAAGGTAAGGGCAGCAAAACAGTAAAGAAGCAATACTTATCCACCCTTACTGCATTTCATTAGCATCCCACAACTCTGTTTCAGGTGATGTGAGTCATCTTAGGTAAAGAGGGCCCTGGGAACCTCTGCAAAGATGCTTAGAGGAATTTGCTCAGCATGTCAGACAAGATCACTTGGATTCATCTTTAGTTAAGACACTGCCTTGGTTGCAAGTCTCAAGGAGAGAACCAGGGTTGAGTATTGCCCAGGTATTTGGGAATGATTTTAACCTTGAGGAAGTGGACAGGTCCTTAGGATAGTGAGCTCAGTCACCTGCTCTTTAGATCCATACCTTTCCTGGCTTGTGAAAGGATTAGAGGGGAAGTTATTGGGTATTAATTAACAGTGGTTAATTTGTCTTTGAATGATGGAATTTCTTCCTTTACCTTTTAAAGAGGATTTCTCAAGAAACTATTGCTGGATCCTACAATACTGAACAATTTTCATCCAGTATCCCTTTTTGATGGATGGGGTGGCACTGCTCAATCCTCACAGTCTTCCTACATCAGGGGTGTCAAACTGGCGGCCCGCAGGCATCACATGCAGGCCACACCCACCCCAGCTCCGCAAATGGGAAAAACGTCGTGAAACATCATGTGACAGCAACGTTACACAGCGAGTTTGACACACGTGTCCTACACTCACAATTTCTTCTCAAGGAGTAGATGGCAAATGTGACAGAGACTCTGCACAGCTTTGCATTGTTCACAGTTGCACTATTCTCTGTTTTAATTATATATTTTGTAACGACTGTTTATATATACATATATTTAAATTATTGTTGTACACCACCCAGAGTCCATTTTGTGAGATGGGTGTCCATGTAAGATTCTTAATGAGGTATTATTTGCGTAAACTGAACACATAATTCAGCTCTTAAGAAAAATCTTATGAAAAAAATGTTACATGGTCAAAGGAATATACCTCACTCTCCATAGGAAATTTTAGTTTAGCTTTAAGACAAGCTACAAGTCTGAATTAATGAATATCTACATATTAGGGCAGTGCACACTTAGGGCAGCCTGAAAAGAGGGGCTCTTTCATTAATAACAGGGAGGCGCTATTCATTAAAGCAGATTTATTTAACATTTAACTAAGACATTATTACGTTCTCTACATTGTACAACATAGAGTAAGTGTATATATGTAAGCAAAAAGCAGTATATGCCAGATGCCATTTGAATTTCCAATAACTATGCTAGACCCAATAATGCCCTCAATCACATTTGATCCTTTTGATTCCACAGTCGAGTAGCATTTTGCTTAAGATCTTACAAAATATTGAGTTATCTATGGAGAAATGCCAAAAGAACAGAAATTCTCCATCATATAAAAAAGCTGATTGCTAAGCTGAAGTGATTATCACTAAGCCAAAATTTACATACTTTGTGCAGGTGATGTGAATAAAGAGTAGAAAAAATTATGATGCTTGTCATAATTGAGTGCAAACAAGGGATAATAAAATGGATGGATCAAGAGATTATCCAAGTGTCTTTGGTGGGGCTACAGTTCAAGATACACTACAAGATTTAAGGGTATATCTGCAGTTATCAAGAGTTGAATCTACTGGTAATTAGCACCTAGTTAATTGTACCTTCTCCTTTATCTAGTTTGAGCTTTAACGTACTTGTCCTAATCTCTTCAATTACTACCATCAATATTTCCACTGATTTAACTTGCGTCTGATGAAAAAAAGAAATAATGCTACTAAGACTATAATTTACCTGTGTAGAAAAAATAATTTTGCCTTTTTATACAGATGTCAAACGTTGACGTTACCTATTGCTTTCTGGAACTCTTCAAGCTGACCACAACTAGTAAATATTGACCAACCAAAACACTCTGTCCCACAAATTAGTGACTTAAGTTCACACATCACGTTAAGCCATAACATGGCTTGCTCCGTTTTGGGCTAATAATGGTTGGAAGCAACTGAGTTTATCCTCTCATGCAATTCCTGCTATTTCGACTTTCTCCGTCAACCATGACATAATTCAACGAATTCCCGGTATTTGAAACCTGTCAGTCACCCTATCTAAGACCACTTATACAAAAAGATGTCAAATCATTCACTAGAACCAGCAAGACATGTTGTTCTGGCCCTTCTCCTGAACAGCTCCTTTCTCAGGCTGGTCAGCGGAGTTTTGAAATTAGACTAAGAATGATAAAAAAAATATAAAATAAATTCATTTTAGAACGTCTGTCATCGAGCACATCCATCTGCCAGAGTTTCACACTTCACCCCGTCGGGCAAATCAAGGGATGGGAAGATCACGAATGGGGAAGACCTCCTGCTTTTGAAGCCGTCGCCACCAAATTTTTTTTCCAGTAAGCCTATGATCTCTCCCCAAGACCTAGCTAAGAAGCGGCTCCGGAAAAGGCCAGTTAACAAAGCGATCAAGGTCGAGGAGCCCAAATTCAAACGGACATGGAAACTGCCCGCCCGTCTTCTCTTCGTCCTCACCGCGTAAGCCTCGGTGATACCGCTCCAGGGACTGCGCCAAGTCCGATTCTCCCGTGGCTTCCCTCACGGGATCCAGTGAATCCGGAGACCCGCTCCAACCGGGGCCCGGGCTGCACGCCGCAACTCTTCCGGCTATACCGACCGCTTCTGAGACTCCCTCCATTGGGACGCGTGGGAAGTATAACCTCCCCTTCCCCCCCCCTTCCCGGCTAGGCTTTCTTCGTGGGCTGTCGGTCTCTGTAGTTCCAACGGCGTCCTTTCGCAGCGCACGCAACAGCCCCGGTGACTAAGAAGCAACTACAAGCCCCAGGGAGAGCGCGGTGGGGTGGGGGGCGGGGGCGGAGGAGGTTCCGATGAATCTTGCGAAGCGGTTCGTTGCTAGGACAACCGAGGAACGGCGCTTCCCCGAGTCCCGCTTCGAAGACCGCTTTTATGCCCGCAGATAATCAAGTGACGTGTGACGCGGGGCACGCGCTGCCTCCGAACGTAAAAGAAGACAGAAGGCTTCCTCTCTCGCCCGAAATGCAACACGCCGTAACGGTCCTCTATGTCGAGGAAGTCTTTGCCGCGCTGCTTTCTGGGAATTGTGGTTTGGTGCAAGAACAATGTCCATACGGTGGGTTTGCTTGGCTCTGCGAGGGTGCCAGCCAGGGCTATTATATACAGAAGACGGTTTTATTCTGTGGGAGGGGTGAAGGCATTTTTTATTTGCTTTAAAGTGAGCGCGTTTTTTTTTTTCATTCTTATCCCGGACATAGATGAGAGGAACAAAGCATTTTCATAGGAGAAGCTATATTTGTCCTTTTCATATTCCGCAAGGAAGCGACCCCAGTCCCCCCCAAAAAGATGATATCGTTACACTTTTCGAAACCTTCACTAGTTCGTGCCATCAAAAGAAAAAAACACAAGACATAAGTAACAATACCCAAATTCCAGCTTCTTCAGTCTGGAAAACGACGCCTGCGCGGCACGAATCGGCTGCTTCGCGTTCTTGCACGCGCCTGCGCACTGGCTTCGTCCTGAGGCAAATCCATTCTTTCTTCTCTTCCCCCCCTCCCCTTCCCTCCCCTCCCTCCGCTTGTATGTCGCTCCCTGGGACGGCGCCTGCGCAGTAACTTCCCTGTGTTCCGCGCCGTTAGCCGCTTTATAGTAGGAATAACGTTGAAGCGGTTGCTACAGGCGGAACAACGTAGGTTGGCGGAGGGTCAGCGATCGCCCTTGACTTTCCCCTCCGCCCCGCGCGCCCTTGTTGTGGGAGAAGATGGTGGATCAGTGAGCCGGCACTTTCAGGCTTCCTCAAAGGGAGTGAGTAAGTGATGCTGCGGGATCCTTTGCCGGGGAGGGGAGGGGAGAGGAAGGGAAGGGGTGACTTTGCCCGGCAGCGAGCGATCAACCACATAACGGGGCATCGTCTTCTTTTTCTTCGCGGTCCTTTCCTTGGCTTGCCTTCGGCAGCGATTTCGATCCTGGGGCGGATCCACATATAAATTGATGCTCCAATTCATACGAACCAACCATAACGGCTCCTTCTCCCGGCGTACTTTTTATTAGCAGTGTGGCAAGATTACTCCCGCTACGAGGATCGTTTTCCTTGGCGCTTCGTTCCCCCACCCCCCACCCCCCTTTTGCTATTTCCTGGCCGCGGAAGGCTGTCCCTTTGGGAGTCAATCGAGGCGGTTACTGCTGCTGCTGCTGCTGCTGCATGAAATATGAGGGGGGATGGTCCAGATTGGATACAGATGGAGCTTACTCGACCATCCGCTTCCTCTTTTTGCCTCTCCTCCCTCCTTCACATGTGAGCCAGTCTTCCCCCGGGGCGCTCCCGCTCTCTCTCTCTCTCTCTCTCTCTCGAGTGGCGTGGAGGCTTCCCCACCCTGAGTTCAGGCTTCAGCCCCCGCCCCGCTCCAAGCAGCCCCCCTTGTGGAAAGACGCGGCTTGAGGGGTGAAGGGAGGCGGGTGGCTGCTGCTTTGCTTGGGCGTTTTGTTCTGGCTCGTCGTTTTCCATTTTTCCCCCTCTCTCCCTTCTTTGCAACTGTACCGTTTTCTTCTTTGTTCGGTTTTTTTTTCCCCTTTCCCCCCGATTAGTTTTTTTTTTTTTTTTTTTTTTGCGAGCTGTCGGGTTTCTCTTTTCAACGCATACATAGAAGGGCGTGTGAACGTGATTTGTTGTGTGTGTGTGTGTGTGTGAGAGAGAGAGAGAGAGAGGAAGATTCTGCTTTCATCCTGCTTTGTAGGTTGAATGTACCTAAAATGATGCATAGCTTTACACCTTAAAAGACATCCCCGTGGGAGAAGCTATGTCGAATCCTTTCCTCCCTCTCTCCCCTTTGATACCATCTGCGTCTGCTTTGTTCTTATAATTTTACCTGTATAAAAGATTCCAGAAGGAAATGTGTTTTATATGGGTTCTTTGAAATGATTACAGAAATATCTTTTGTCAAAGCTATCTTTTCGAATTGTGTGTTGTGGATGCACATGTAATGTATATGGCTATAGCAGATTTCTACCCGTCAATTTAAAAAATCTTAGCAGGTTTGAAATACACAAGATATTAGGAAAGAGATAGTCCAAAGGAAACAAATGATAGCTGTACAGATGAGTCTTCTTTTGTGATATCATCCACTAATTGTTTGGAACGGATGCTAGAAATGGGGGAAGGGGAGGGTTTCCGTTCATAACTGTACTCTTATATAGGTACTTTTTAATATTTGCATTCCAGCTAATCTACTACATGGCATTGGACAAAATCCTAAGCATCCTAATTAGAAACAGCTTAAAAATGAGCTAGAGTTGTTCAGAGCATGGTATTAGTGGGTAAGAAAGCTGAAGGATTTGTGCTACTTGCTAGTGTCTGAAGTAGGATAATTTTAAATAGGTGCTGCCAACACCGCTTTCTATTTCTACTACATTATGCTGCTTCACATTTAAAACAACATGTCTTCCTTTATTGACTTCTATTTTCAGCAGCAAGGGATCTTTTTTAAGAGTCTTAAAAAGTAAGTGATATGTGATAAATTTTCAGTTATCACAGCCTTGAAGTCTTGTGTGCAAACCCCATGGTATTCTTTCAGTTAAGTTCACTGGCTGGATTCACATGTCATACATAGGTTTGCAAAGTTTCAGAACATTCTGCTAAGCGACATGCAAATCACATAATGGTTTAGGATAATATGTGAAGTTAGGCAATGTTTTACGTTCTTCTTAGTTCGTTGATTTTATACTGTAAATCCTTCTGTAAATATTTGGATGAGATGCTCATAATTATTTAAAACAAATGATAATTATTCTTCATTAGGAAAAGTTCCTATCTTCAACTTAATCTTTTTTTAAAGAATCCAGCCTATTTCATGAATTGTTAATAAAAGTTAAGTGCTGAATAATATTTGATGCTCAAGGGTTTAAGATGCTACAAAGTGTACAAGTTCAAAATTGTCAAACATCTAAAAACTATGATTAAAGGTTAATGGTTTTGTTGAATGGTGCCTCTAAAGTTTGTCATTCAATATGCACATTTACTTCTTCACCTTCATCTACTCATTTTTGGAATTGCAGTGATCAGTGTCCCAGAACTGTACTATATACAAAGGATTTTGTGATATTGATAATAAAGTATCTAGCAGTTAACATTTCAACAATAGTGATTTATAGATTTAGTTATTCACTAATGTGCAAGTACTATTTTAAAAGAAATATAAAAATTGGATTTTTTTATTTAAATTGGATGTTTTTGATTTAAATCGATTTTTTAAAATCAAATTTATTTTAATAAAATGCTTTTGGAGTAAAATCTATCTAAATATAAGTTTTCTATTTAAAATACATTAATAATTTAGTTTATGTAGCATGAGGTTGTATATTCTGCAATATTTACATTTTTAGTAAACTCATTTAATGAATCCAAGCTCTGCAAGCTGAGATAACATGTACTGCATTGATGCATTCAAACAATTTCACAGTAACCATGAGATAAATCATAAAACAAAATTCAAGAATATTCCTTTATCCCATTGTTTTGAAAATCTATGTACACTACAAACTGTATGATTATTTGAAGAGAAATGCATCTGTACCACTAGGCTCTAAGTGTGAGGAGGAAGGGCAAGCAGTAAAAATGAAAGTGAAACCTTCTAAGCAGCTTATAAATATAATATTAAAGAGCACCTGTAATTTCAGATCCATCATGGCAGCGCCTGTTAGCGGGCAACCACTCACCTGCTGCCTGCCACATCCCTCATCTTGTTGTGTCACCGCCGCTTCACCAGCCGTCCAATTAAATTGAATGGGACTCTCGGTGAGTCAACAGCAGGTCAGAGGAGGAGCCACTTCAGAACAGAGATGACAGTTGCTCTTTGAAAATTATTATTTAAATTGAGTTGATTTAAATCAAGCCTTTTTATTAGTGATTTAAATATGATTTAAATCGTGATTTAAATCCACCCTGGCAAATACAAAACCTATATACATTTGATTTATTACAGTGATAGCCATGTGATGTAATCTAATAATGAAATTTTCATTGAATTGTTTAGCAGTTGTAAAAATCATACAAACTATATGCTACTAAATTAGGTTTGCAGATCTTAAAGGAGTCATGAAAAATAGAACCACTTGATAAAGGGGGTTAGAAGAATCACGAAGGTAGCAGGTGTGATAGTCTGCTTTTAAATTAGATCGGTTACTTTTAATTTTTTCATTTTAAAATTACTCTTGAGGAAGAATGTATACTTTATAATTTCTAAAAGGGATGATTGGTAATTTATTATTAATACAGTTATTCTGTAAATAGATACTTAATTTGTAACCTACTGCTAGTGAAATCCAATTGCCTCTTGTACTAAAAAATTATAACAATGTGACAAAGGCTTCAAATTTGAACTGAAATCAACATGTTTGAGGGAGCTTCTTTCACACTTGGAATGATTTTGTTTTAAAATATTTCCCACATGACTAAGAGTCATGTTAGCCTAGACAGAAGAATCAGTGTCCTTTGCTCTTACTATGCTTTCAGTGATGAGCTAAAGCATATATTTTGAAGAAGGTAATCATTGTATACAATATATTTGTATACTTATCTAGCATAGAAGCCAGTTCCGTAGAAAAAGTGATATTTTTGAGTAAACTTTCATGGACTTAATTTGGAACAAAAGTACAAAACTTTCCAGAAAAAAATGTATGTGAGTTAAATAGTGATTAAAAAGTTTCAACATTAGATCAGAAAATAGTGGTATTTGGTTTTGAAGTTATAAGAGCAGTCAAAATATTGCTGTCATTGTAAACATATTACACATAGACACTCATGATGTTTCCTTTCAAGATAAGTTTTGTTAAGAAAAAGAGTAAGAATTAATGAAAAATGGAAAGATGGTAACATTTAGCTTCCTCATCCATTTTTGCATCTTTAATAAATATTTTTCCTTGATACAGATTTCATCTACTTGCTTT